CTGAGCTACTTCAAGTGTCTCAGCTACTTTAAGTGTCTGAGCTACTTCAAGTGTCTGAGCTACTTCAAGTGTCTGAGCTACTTCAAGTGTCTGAGCTACTTCAAGAGTCTGAGCTACTTCAAGTGTCTGAGCTACTTCAAGTGTCTGAGCTACTTCAAGTGTCTGAGCTACTTTAAGTGTCTGAGCTACTTTAAGTGTCTGAGCTACTTCAAGTGTCTCAGCTACTTCAAGTGTCTCAGCTACTTCAAGTGTCTCAGCTACTTTAAGTGTCTGAGATAATTCGAGCGCCTGAGCTCTTTAAGTGTTTGTTTTATTCTATATAGTGTTCTTGTTTAGTTCGTTTCAATCACTCTGTGACAAAATCGGTGGTACGGAGACTTTCAATTATGTCACAGGTTCGGAACAGTGTTTCTTCCAGGCTTTTTTTCCGGGGGAGGGGGCAGACACTGTTATATAGTGTATATATTTTCTAAATAAATTTCATTTCGTACTTTATAGTTATTTAAATAGTAGTCTATAATTTATTTTCTACTTTTTACAAGCTTTTATTTAACTCATTTCCTCGACAGTCTGTCTGTCGTCAGACTAGATCGAAGCACCGGAGCGAAAATTCGGACACTTCTACTTGACCGATACGGTTCACAGTTGGTACGTGGGTCAAGACATGAAGACAATGCAATCTGAAATTAAATTTGACTTAATTAGATGCCTAATTAATTTTATATGAATTAATAAAAATTTGGACCGAATTAGTAGGCATTTCTATCCAACCACACCACACGCGTCATCACGTTCAATAGCGCGTCATCACGTTCAATCGGTGCGCAATGGTTTTTAGTCATGAAACTCTATTGTAAGAAAAACATGTAAAGTACTAAAAAAAAATTCATAAAAAACATTTAATAACAAGCTATTATGTAATAATGCACCAAAAAGTAGAAAATAAATTATAGACTACTATTTAAATAACTAGAAAGAAAAGCGTGGGTCACTTTAGTATCTATTGGATACCTTTCCTAATGTTTAGGAAGAGACCCACGCTTTTCTTTCTAGTTATTTAAATAGTAGTCTCTAATTTATTTTTTACTTTTTAGTGCATCTATAATTATATATAAAGCAAAGTGGTCAGGTGCGTCAAATTTGGCACGATGGTGCCTTGGGGCAATAGAACACGAGGGCCGGTGACGGTTGGTCGAAAAGTCCACGAAGAGGGGGTCAAAGCTGACCTCGACTGACCGGCGCCTTATATGGGCTATATTACGAAAAAGAACTTTTGCCAAACGACCCCCCTTAATATTTTGTGAGGTGGTAGGAGATTGACTAGGGGTGTCAGAAAAAACTCGGCATATCTGGGAAAACTTCGTAAAGGGGTCAAAACTGACCAGTTGTATTTCCCAATATAATCTTTGTATTTTAATGGAAAAACAGAGGGTCGTTTTAAGGCGGATTTTAGGGTACTTAAACTCAGTATATCTGGCTAACTTTTTGCATGATCTTAGGTAAATGGCTTGGCCTTTAGGGAAAACTGTCGGTTTGACTCAAAGTTGTCTAAAACATGACCGCGAGTGAAATTCTCTTTACATGAGCTCTATTACGAAAAAAACTTTCTTCAGACGCCCCCCCCCCCCCCCCTTGAAATTTTGTGATGTGGTAGGATAACACCTAGGGGTGTCAGAAAAAACTCGCCATTTCCGGGGAAAATCTGGAAATGGGTCAAAACTGACCAGTCGTATTTCCCTATATAATCTTTGTATTTTATGGGAAAAACAGGGTAATTTCAACATAAATTTTAGGATACTCAACCTCTATTTATCTGGCCATTTTTTTGCATTCACCTCTATAGATGACTAGGCCGTATAGAAAAACTGTTGGTCAGACTCAAAGCTCTCGACGAGGGCTAAAAAGTGACCGCGAGTTAAATTCTCATTATATAAGATATCTATAAATAAATTGACGAACGATCTCTCTATTATTTTGTGAGGTAGCAGACCGACCCCGGAGGATAACAAAAAACATTATTCCCGTCGAAAAAAAACCTTAGGGTCGTAAGATTTGTCCAGATAAAGTATTTTCTTATAAACAATTGTTTGTAAAAAAAAAAAAAAGTAAACAAAGACATACTTCATTATTTCAATTTTCAAGGGAGGTAACTTTTTTTAAATAACTATTTTTCAAAAAATTGTATACTATTTTAAACATAAACAGAAAATGACGAAGTATAGCATTTGTTTCATTAAAAAATTAAGTTGTTAATTAAGGTACTATCCTATTTAATAAGTTAATTAATTTTAAAATTAATAAAATCACTAAATAATTAAGTATTCAAACTCTCAAGTGTTTTTGAAAACCTAAGCGAAGCTAGGCAGTATGCCTAGTTAGTACATAAAAGCTTGTTATTAAAATGTTTTATTAAAAAACATTTTAGTGCATTAGTAAATAAAAGCTTGTTATTAAAACGTTTTTTTAATGAATTTTTTTAGTACTTTACATGTTTTTATTTACAATAGAGTTTCATGACTAAAAACCATTGCGCGCCTATTGAACGTAATGACGCGCTATTGAACGTGATGACGCGAGTGGTGTGGTTAGATAGAAATGCCTACTAATTTGGTCAAAATTTTTATTAATTCAAAAAAAATGAATTAGGCATCCAATTAAGTCAAATTTAATTTCAGATTGCATTGTCTTTATGTCTTGACCCACGTACCAATTACGAACCGTATCTGTCAGTTAGAAGTGTCCGAATTTTCACTCCGGCGTTTCGATCTAGACAGACAGACTGACGACTGAAGACTGATGACAGACAGAGGAAGTGAGTTAAATAAAAGCTTGTAAAAAATAGTCTTACCTTCCTTGTTTTATGAATAAGATTCGTCAAACTAATTAATAATATGCTATCAAATTAATATCCACTGACTACTGTCTAATAAAATGTGAGAAGCGGTGAATGTACAGCTAGGAAGTTCGCTACTTGTAAAGCTAAGAGCGGGAATGGGGGGGGTCAGAGAAAGGAACTTAAAAGTGACAACAAAGGTGCTACTATCCATCAGTGCCGATGTTGGGATGGTCTCATCTACTTTTCCTAAAGCCTTATTGTAAAACATTCAAGGGTGAGAATTCAAATTACTCACGTTTAATATCACATATTTTGTAAAACAAAAATAAGTAAACATACATAAAACCGAAATTATTGTTATTATATTCTTTTTTATTATTTGTAAAATACAGAAAAGTAGTTCTACCAATATAAAAATAACGAACATTGTGGATTGTGGGCCCCTTTCCGACGCTATAAAGTAGCAAAAGTCATCTTATTATTTAGCTGCCTCTCGCGCAATGGACTTTTTTTTTTCAAAAGAATTTTGCCGACAACAGAGTGTGTTTTTTTTTTGTTGGAGGAAGAGGACTCAGCTTTCACAGTGGTTAAAAAACAAAGGGAAAAAGAATATACAAGAGCGTGGGATGGTGTCTATAGAATAAAGATAATCCAACAGCAGCTACAGTATTCTTTTTACAAAATAACCATTAAGTCAAAAAATGCAAGATATTTTTTTTTATTTTAACTATTATTTTAACTATTTTTATTTTAACTATTTTATTATGGTCGGCTGTGGCGTGCCCCCTTCCTCCCCTACCCCCCCCCCCCCTCATTGCGGGATCTGGCGGCACTGTAGTTCCGCCCTTGATACACATGCATATACGCATACGCGTATATCCTAATATATAAAAGTCGCACTTCTCTCTCTCTCTCTGTCCGCAAAATATTTTCGCAGGCTTTTGCGATATATGGAGAACTTGATAAGAACTTTTGTTAAAAATATTATGGTAGATGTTTTAAATGTATAAACAAAATTTTATTTAAAGAAGAAAAATAAAAAATATAAAAATATAAAAACTCTCAGGCTATCACATCAAAATCTTCAGCGATATATATATATATATATATATATATATATATATATATATATATATATATATATATATATATATATATATATATATATATATATTAAGTCTCTTAATTTTAAGTCTCAAAATCAGGGAGTGCATGTAATATGGTATGTTTACCGATGAAGAAATTAACTATTTCATTTAAATCTATAGATCTATACATAAAAACCTAATAAAAAATAAATCACTTTAAAAACAAAAAGAATACCATTGAATAGCCGAGTTTTTAATGGAATCATTTAATTAAGTCACTTAATAAGAGTGTGTCAGTGTTTTGTTAAATGTGTCGGATTTTTAGCTAATTAGTTATTTCTTTGCTTTGTCACAAATAAATATCGTTCAGTGTGTAGTAAAACATATTGCGTTTTGACCAATAACTATTTTATAAATTATTTTTCTCAAACAAGTACTACATTTTAAAATATATAGGCCTATAACTCACGTGAAACGGGTACCGATGGCTAGTTTATATATATATATATATATATATATATATATATATATATATATATATATATATATATATATATATATATATATATATATATATATATATATATATAATATATATATATACATATATATATGTGTGTGTGTGTGTGTGTGTGTGTGTGTGTGTGTGTGTGTGTGTGTGTGTGTGTGTGTGTGTGTGTGTGTGTGTGTGTGTGTGTGTGTGTGTGTGTGTGTGTGTGTGTGTGTGTGTGTGTGTGTGTGTGTGTGTGTGTGTGTGTGTGTGTGTGTGTGTGTGTGTGTGTGTGTGTGTGTGTGTGTGTGTGTGTGTGTGTGTGTGTGTGTGTGTGTGTGTGTGAAAGTATGAGTCTGTGTGGTGTGTGTACACCAATGATAGATGGTGGCTGCTATGAAGTATTTATTGACATACTAGACCTGACAACGATAAGTTCTAAGTACATTTAATTCATCTCACACAATGATATTATTAGTGGGGTGAGGGTGAACAAGATACATCCACATGTCTTTACACAGTGTAGCTACATTTTGTATATGACTTAATATACAACATACATTACAATAGTTTTTTTAATATTTACCTTAGGCCTGGCGCCAGAATTCTGCCTGTTCTGGGTGATCTTTGAGAGCTAGGTACAGTTTAGGATGTAGATCTTTCATATCTGTGAAGTTTAAATCTACATTTGCCAGCTTTTTGTAGTCATTGCACAACCTAGCAACATTTCGAATATTTTTTACATGAGTTACCGAGTGCTTTAAGTTTTCCAGAACGAATTTTTCAAAATGTCCAGGTTTCAGCTTACGTAACTTTTCAAGCCATAAGCCATAGTTAATATACTGACGTAAGGGATTGTCACTTGGTTTGTCCAATTCTTTGTCACATTTTTTCACAATATCACTAATTTCTTCTTCTTTCGAAATACTGTCGTCATATTCATCCAACTCTTTTAATTGTGAGTTATTTTTATCTTTTTCCAACACATGGGATTTTAGTTCGTTAAGTAAATTAATTCCATCTTTTGACAGAAACCATTTTTGTTTCACATTTTTGGGCTTTTCAGTAGGTTTAAATTTCTTCGGTTTTTTAGGAAGACCTTGTTTATTTTTTTTTCTCTTTTTTTCTAATTCCTCAAGATCCCATGTATATTTCACCTTACTTAAATCTTCAAGATAAGTTTCGTAGTATTCATAATGTTTTTTGTGGTATTTAATGTTGTCCTGTAGAGTTTGCTTCATTTCATTTCTGTTTTCATCACTTAGTTTAATATCCTTGTCTTCGTCGTCATGTCCCAAGCCTTCAGGTCTGGCTTCCTGCTCCTGATCTATGACCTCTGAACTCATTACAACAAGTTAACTAAAACAGATGACGACAAATAGCTTCCTGATCGTGTCTTCTTTGTTCGCCGTAAAATAAACAATAACAAAAAATCATTTTAAATAAATAAAAGCTATAAAGTTTTTCTTTGAACATTTTGAAACTAATTACACTTCATTTTGCTAGATCTGTTGCTATTGCGAATTTTATATCATACAATATAAAAAAATGTGCACCTTTTGCCTAGACCTACTGTACCTTGTCTAACATTAACTTAACCACTATCCCTTTCTAGAAACCACCTGCCAACCATAAACCACGAAACAATCTGGTACAATAAAAACTTTATTTTTAACGAAAGTATAAACATCACAATATTGGAGAGAAAAGACTAGTTACATATTTTATTAAAATAGATGTGTTAATAATAACAAGACACGGGATTAATTCGTGAATTCTTTTGTCACAAAGTCTTAAGTTTTCTGTTGTTATAGAGCGGACAACTAAAACGTTCGTTCTAAACCCAAATGTTCAAATTCCATATAACTAGCATTAAATACAACTAAATCTCAAAACCGTACCTAACCCAACTAAATATTTATACTGTATCGAAGACAACAAAATATCTAAATTGTATCCAAAACAACCAAATGTATAAAATGTATCAAACAAAACTTAATCTCTAAACTCTATTCAACACCAAACAATCTATAAACTGTGTCAAAGTAAAACACAACAAAACCTCTAAACTGTATTAAACACAACCAAATATTTAACCTGTGTCAAACACAACCAGATGTTTTTAGTTTATCAAACAAAACAAATATCAAAACAGTATTTAAAAAATCAACGAAATATCTAAACTGTATCAAACAACCAAATCTTTAAATTTTGTATCAAACACAAGCAAATCTTTAAATAGTATCAAATATAAAATAATCGCTAAATTGTATCAAATACAACGAAATCTCGTATCTGTGTCAAACACAATAAAATCTCAAAACTGTATCACACACTACACAATCTTTAAACCTTATCGAACACAACCAAATCTCTAACCTATATCAATCATAGGACAATCTCTACAGTGTATTTCACATAACACAGTCTAGACTCTATATCAAGCGTAACCAAATCTTAACACTGCTCTAAACAACCATATCTCAACATTGTATCAAACATGTCAATTTAAACAAACATCCTACCTTTAATTGAATATAAATAGTTTCTGTTCAACTACTAAAACGATTAACACTCTGTTCGTTTAAGAAAAATCTAGAATCTGTCAGCTCTTCAATATGGGTGTCTTCAGTATGGCTGACTCAGTCCTGTTGACACGTGTTATATCATGATATCAAAAGTGGGTCGCCTTCGTTCACTACCTGCCAGCTGTTTGCGCTTATAGCATTTCTATTTTTAGTTAATATGGATTCATATGAGAGACACGGGTTTTCCAGTAATATTACTGCTCATTGTCGAGCTTAGTCAGTCTATAGGCTCTGCTAGTCTGCTAGCTCGCATGTGACTTACCTGCAGAAAAATCGCTAATTGAATTTATTAATTTTTTAAAACATTTTTTAGATTACTTGTTTATTTATTATTATTTTTTTATTAATTAATTTATTTATTTTGTTATTTGTAAGACAATCAACTTTTAAAAATTTAAACACTGATGCAAGATTTCAAGAAATATCTCCTTTACCTTAGTGTGGTATTTCAAGGTCTATATGTTATTGTAGATTATATTTTGGACTTTCAGTAGTGTATTCAAATGATCGTTGAACATAGTTTTCATATTAATGGCTGGCTGAGCATTTACATCATGTTCAGCCAGCATACTTAAAGTATACTTTGCCAAACGAAAATTCGAGACTAGTCCACATACATACACACACTTATACACACATAGATCTGTAGAATTTGTAGAATGCTATTCTCCGCGGCTGGGGAGGCCGACACATGTAAAAGTATATAGTTTCTATAAAAATTATATTTCGTTGTTTTGTTTTTTTTGGGGTGTGTGTGGGAGGGGGGGGGGAATTAGACGTTCTACCGGGGGGGGGATTAGACGTTTTACCGTGAGGGGGGGGGGGGCTTCGCCCCTGCCCGAAGAGATGCATGAAAGAAACTTTTCACGCAAACCAATTCTAAGATTAGAAAAAAATGGCTTTTTAATTCAATGTTTACTTGAGAATCAATGACGTCATAGTATTGTGTGTACTTTTCCGGCTTGAGACAATTTCCTACTATATGTTCCATGTGACGTCACGCTTCGTTTTTCGTATTACTATGCATGTTTTTACTCTGCTTATATTTTCTCTATAAATAAAAGCGTTCCTAACAGATAGATACATAGATACATACAGGGGCGGAACTACATTGCCGCCAAACCTCGCAATGCGGGGGCCCGTGTCATTTAGGGGCCCACAGCCGACCATAATTTTTTTTTAAATTATTTTTGACTTGATGGTTGTTTTGTAAAAAGATTACCGTTGCTACGGTTGAATTATCTTTATTCTAAAGACACCACCCTAAGCTCTTGTATATTCTTTTTCTCTTTGTTTTTAAACCACGGTGAAAGCCGATTCCTCTTTCTCCTACAATCAAACTTATCAAAGATAAGCAAACGTTCAAGCCACTTTAATGACTTATTTCCCTTCTTTAAATTTCCAAATAGGGGTGCTCATAATCTCGTTTTAATAGATTTTTACTAAACAAATTCAAAAGAAATTACTTCTCTTAATTATTATTTTTTTATAAAGTACTTACTAAAGAAAGACATTGTATAAAAAGGAAATGTATTTAAAATTAATAATATAAATACGAGAAAACATAAAAATAAACATAACACGAAACACCATTATTTATACAAAGTTTTCGTATTTATATTCTTTCTTCGGCAGAGATAAAATAAAACTGATTTTCAAAACAGACAATTGCACTGGGGGTCATCCATTTATGACGTCGCGCTTTTTTTGACGATATTACCTCCCCCTTCCCTCCGTCACAAAAAGCCAGACCCCCTCCCCCTGAAATGACGTCACACCTCAGCCTACAACCCCCCTCAAAATTTCTGTTGAATTTTTCTTAAAACATCGATATTTTTTCCAAAATCTTGTCAGAACTCTGTCAACTTAGAGTATTTTGATCAATTCCTATTACAACCTATTAAACCCGTTTTCTAAAACGCGAAATAACGGCTAAAACTCGTTTTCTAACATTGTTTTTTATAATGCAAAATGAACCCCCCCCCTCCCCTTCATCACACTCAGTCACAAAATTACGGACCCCCCCCCCCACCCTACTAGTGTGACGTCATTTATGGACGACCCCCTAACACACATAACATGTAATTTGTTTTAATTGAAAAAAAAGCATTTTTTTCAAAACCCGATCAGACCAGCAATGAGTATCCTACGTTCGTATTTTGTGTTTATATATATATAAAGGAGGCCTAAAAAGCATTTTATTGTTCTGCCACTGGATACATACACAGATAGATAGACAGCGAAACTATCCTAATACGAGATAAATGGCCCGTTGAGGAAGGATAATACAACGGGCGCTAAGTTGATAGTGTTGTCTGTTTTCTCTAAACTAAAACCAAAACCAAAATCACCACCTTAACTTCAAATTGAACAGGAGACAACAAATGTCATTGAAAACGAATTTCTGACCAGAATCGGTATTTTAACCGAAATTAAGCTTGATCTACGCGTAGCTACTGCAGATATATACTAAATGTAGTCGAAGTCATATCCCTAAACATTGCACCTAATCTCAAACACGAATTAAGTCGCATTTTGGAGGGGGGGGGGCTCCACCACGAGCACCCCCTACACACACTCTAAAGCACGTCTACCGTCCCATTCAACGAAATATAATTTTTTATAGAAAACATATTTTTACCAGTATCCACCCCCTTCCAAAAAATTTAGTCCACCCTCAACCCTGAACATTTCAAGAACCCCCCCCCCCCCTTTCCGGCGAGGAATAACTCTGAAAGAAACACTGGTCGCATTTGTAGATCATACAAACTAAAGGTAGAGCCTACTTCTATAATATAGAACTGTTTCCTACTTTTGGCCGATAAATTTCACTCACACAGACAGTATTCGTTTCAGACTTTTTTTTCCGGGGGTGGGGCACTTGAATTTTTGCAGGGGCGAATACATTTCTCCGGGTAGAGGAGGCCGACATTGGTAAAAGTATATATTTTCTATACAAATTATATTACGTTTTTAGTTGATTTTTTAGGGGGGGGGGGGGAATTAGACGTTCTATCGTGGGAGGGGTTAATTAGAAGTTCTACGGTAGGGGTAGGTGGGGGGGGGGGGGGGAAGGGGCTTCGCCCGTACCCGAAGAGATGCATGAAAGAAACTCTTCACGCAAAACGCTTATAACATTAGACATAATTTCCTTTTTAATTCAATGTTTACTCGAGAATCAATGACTTATATTATTGAGTTTACTCTCGCGGCTTTAGACAATTTCCTACTATACGTTCCATGTGACGTCGCGTTTCGTTTTTCGTATTATTATGCCTTTTTTTACTCTGCTTGTGTTTTCTATATAAATAAAAGCGTTGCACAGATAGATACATACATACACAGACAGAGAGCGAAACTATTATTATAGATATAAAAGCCCATTTGCGCACTTCTCTCAGTCTCTCTGTCCGCAAAATATTTTCAGCGGCTATGATATCAGTATCTTCAACGATATATGGAAAAGTTGATACTGACTTTGGTTGAAAATAATATGTTGGATGTTTTGAATGTATCAACTAAATTTTTTTAAAGAAGGAAAATAAAAATAAAGGCGTATGTATTCGAATATAGAAACACACCTTTTTATTATGCAACCGGAAAAGTATTTATAGTTGCGACAAGAACGCCGAAATCGATGACGTCACATGTCAAATGTTTGAACTACGGAAAGTACCCAAAACCAAACCAATTGCGTCATTTTCCAATTTTAGAATATGAAGAAATTAACTATTTCATTAAAATTTGATTTAGATCTATAGATCTATTTATCGAGAAATAATTTATGAAATGTATACAATTTTCTCGGCCAAAACGAATACAAATAACTTTTTTTTTAAACATAAACATGAAAAGCTGTGTTTTTAACGGAATCATTTAAGTCTTTTAATCGTTGTGTGCATTTAATATGGTGTTGTGTTGACTAATAATATAATTTGGTTTTATTGTTTCTAATAGGTATTAATAGCCTATGTTATTTTAAATGTGTCGGATTTTTAGCTATTTAATTATTTCTTTGCTTTGTCACTAATATAGTTCTACGTGTAGTAAAGCACATTGCGTTTAAACCAATAACTATTTTATAAATATTCTTCTAAAAAATGTTTAACATTAAAAATATATAGGCATATAATTCACGTGTAACAGGTACCGACGGCTAGTTATTATATATAATAGATGTTAATACGGTTTGGTTTTGGGATAAAAACTACATATTTTTGTGTTATATAATGTGTCCACAATGTTTTGTCTATGCTGCAATGTTAGTAAACATTTCCTGTTTGGAAACTATAGAGGCTTCACGAGGCGGGGAGGGGGGGTGGTGGGGGGGGGGTTCACAATTTAGGCGTGACACCATGACGAAAACTCGTAAAATTTACTGTCAAAACTATGTTTTATTCAGTTAAAATAATAAAATATTAAGGAGAGTGAGTAACACTCCACTGGAAATGCAAAATGTTAGACGGGGTGGGGGTAACACTCACTAAACGCACCGGGTGATATCGAACCTTGTGACGCCTATAACCAAATACACATTTTTTAAAGTTGCTCGTGATTTATTTAGATTTGGGTTTTTTTTTCTTTCTTATAAGTTTGCAAAGTGATTAATATGTTCCTTGAAGTTCCATTAACTGCTTCTGTATGTTCAATACTTTGGATGGCCAAGTTACTGACCCAAAGGGCATATCTACAATTTGTTTCATAACCTCATCATAATGGAGAGACTTGGGACGCCAAACTGTATACTGCTGCCGAGGCGCCTGGAGGACACCCCTTATTTTCTTTAGCCATTGATTATAGTAGCCCTCCGTATCCCTAGTGAATGGCGCTATTTAAAACAAGTGTATGCGCCGTAGTGCTCACGGGGCGGGGGAGCCCGGGGCGTCGGCTGATGCACATGTTCTAAGCCACATTTGGTATCCAGACTCAGGATCAAACAACAATGCAGCAAGATTCGGAAATTCTTTATTCTTTGTTACAATGTATGAACAGAACAATGTATATAATTCGAACACATAATTATTATCAACACGCCAAGGAGACTGAAGTTTTACAGCACCACGTGCATCAGAACGTACTTGAACAGTTTTTTTTGTCACTATCAATTTCATTGTCACTGTGGCTTGACAGGGGTCGTAGTGTGTTTGCACAGTCCCAGTACTCATGGGATCTGAACCTGTGCTGTTTACAGAGACTGGCTGGGTCTGTGTCTGTCAGTTCTGCATCGATGGCTTTCATTGCCCCAGAGTCTAGCATCATCTGACATGCATCAACTCCTGAAACATTTAGGTTACGACTCTTAATGAGGTCATTTGTTTACAATAATGATCATGATTTGTTTAAATACAAATGTATAGTTCACGCTATATTTTGTCAAATGACAATGCGTTTCGGTTTGCTGATGATAATTTGTCTACTTTGAGATTTTTTGTTCATTAATTTTGTTTAAAAGAATGCACAACTCCTTTCGTGATTTTTACAAGCTTTTATTTAACTCACTTCCTCGTCAGTCGTCAGTCTGTCTAGATCGAAACGCAGGAGTGAAAATTCGGAAACAACTTCTACTTGACCGATACTATTCACATTTGACACGTGGGTCAAGACATGAAGACAATGCAATCTGAAATTAAATTTGACTTAATTGGATGCCTAATTAATTTTTTATGAATTAATTAAAATTTGGACCGAATTAGTAGGCATGTCTTGTCAACCACACCACACGCGTCATCACGTTCAATAGCTGCGCCATCACGTTCAATGGCTGCGCCACCACGTTCAGTAGGCGCGCAATGGTTTTAAGTCATGTAACTCTATTGTAAATAAAACATGTAAAGTACTGAAAAAAAATTCATAAAAAACGTTTTAATAACAAGCTTTTATGTAATAATGCACTAAAAAGTAGAAAATAAATTATAGACTACTATTTAAATAACTATAAAGAAAAGCGTGGGTGTCTTCCTTAACATTAGTAAAGGTATCCAATAGATACTAAAGTGACCCACGCTTTTCTTTATAGTTATTTAAATAGTAGTCTATAATTTATTATCTACTTTTTAGTGCATTATTACATAAAAACTTGTTATTAAAACGTTTTTTATTAATTTTTTTTAAAACTAGGACATAATCATCTGATGTTGCATTTTTCTTTCTTTGTGAATATGATGCTGATCCAATAGAAACAAGCTATACATTTTAGATACCAGTCTATTATAGTCTTTGTCTATCCAAGAAAAATCTAAAAGTGCAGCAGTTTTTAAATTTTGGAGTTGTCTCTCCATCTGATGTTGCATTTTTCTTTCTTTGTGAATATGATGCGGATCCAATAGAAACAAGCTATACATTTTAGATACCAGACTTTCATAGTCTTTGTCTATCCAAGAAAAATCAACAATGCAGCAGTTTTTAAATTTTGGAGTTGTCTCTCCTAGATGGGTTGCTCTCTCCAGCTAACAAGCACCATGAGCTTTACCGACCCAAGGGACAAATTTAGACTAGACACATTTTGACGCTTTATTAGTAAAAACAAAGAACAAATTTAAAGCTACATTTAAAACAACAAGTTGTGGGATTCCACAAGATTTATTTTTCATCGTTTCATCTACAGAAAATTTATTTGAATCTATACAAAACAAAAAATAAACCGGGAGTGATCTCCCCTAAACTTTCTCGAATATTCTTATATAACTTGGAATGTAGACATGATTTTTAATTACTTAAACTTTTAAAAATAGAATAGAATCTCATAGAAAAAAACATTGCGCACCAAACAAACGCCGAAACAAAAGTGCATAATAATGCGCAATATTATTAGTACTTTAAAAATTTACATTAGTTTTTTGAGAAATCGGAAGTAGCGTAAATTACTACTTCCGGTCAACGGAAATTACTCAAAATTTAACAGAAGGTAGAGAATTAGATCTTTTACTTACATGTGAAATTTCATTTATCTATCTGAATTAGTACTCAAGTTATAGGCTTTTGAAAAATTCAAAGTAGAAAAAGTACCACTTCCGGTTATCGGAAATCGCTCAAAAGTTGATACGGATCTACGATTTTGATATAATACTTATATATGAAATTTCATCAACCTAGCTGTAACGGTACTCAAGTAATCGTGTTTACACACAGACACACAGACACACACACACACACACACACAGACATACGGACAAGATTGCAAAATTATGTTTTTCCGTATCAGTGAGGTGTAAAACGTCGAGATTTGTAAAAATCTCGATTTTTTTTTTTGCACGATTACAATACTTTCTCTATACTACGTATATACGAGAAAGTAAAAAGTAAAAAAACAAATTGTCATCAATGAATAGTTTGTTTAGTCTAAAAGTTTAAACTGTTCAGCGATATTCTGTTTGTAGTCAAATAAGCTAGTTTATGTTAAATAATCATAGACAAGTTTGTGTTGAATATGTGTAGGGCTAGTCTGTGTTGAGTATGTGTGTGACTATGTGTTGAGTATTGCATGACTATGTGTTAAGTATATGTGTGACTATGTGTTGTGTGTATGTATGACTATGTGTTGAGTATGTGTATGACTATGTGTTGAGTATGTGTAGGACTTTGTGTTGAGTATGTGTATGACTATGTGTTGAGTATTTGTGTGACTATGTGTTGAGTATGTGTGCGACTAAGTGTTGAGTATGTGCATGAATATGTGTTAAGTATATGTGTGACTATGCGTTGAGTATCCATATGACTATGTGTTGAGTATGTGTACAGCTGGTCTGTGCTAAGTATAAGACACAACCCCTGTAGGACTCAGTGCGATTATGTTCCTTTGTTGCGAGGTCCGGCTCAAACACAATTAATTGAATGAGCCGCCTAATTACCACTGGAGGCCCGGTCGTTGACGTCATCAGGGTCCGTGTACTTGGTGACTGTGGTGTAGAGGGTGGACTTGTCCAATGGCCATCCGTTCTTCCTGCACGTGGCCTGCACGAGCGCCGTCAGATACGACTCGGGGATGTGCAGCCCAGACAGCCACATCACTGCTGGCTCGCAATCGTTCACCTAGGACATTTGTAAAACAAGGGAAGTAGTTCATGTTTTCTTTACAGATTAAGGGGAAATAACTAAATAAATGTTTGGTCAGCTTCTTCGCCTGCCCCACCGACCGAAAAGTTTTACTTGTACTTACTGTCAATCACGACATAGAATTCTGTTGGATGGTCCGATGTAACGTAAAATTAACAGGACAACCCGAACAAAGGGTTGAGTGTAGCATAAGCTCTGCCCATTCCAAGCTACAACCTGTAATATTGGAGAGAGAAATAGGGAGTGGGAGAGGGATGGGTGGATTTTAGTTGACTCAGGTTAACCAATGTTAATACAGTTATACATACACACACACAAACTCACATATAAAATTATATATATATATATATATATATATATATATATATATATATATATATATATATATATATATATATATAACATATAAATAGGGTAAAACAGACGATAGGCACCGTTTGGTGTTCATCCCTAGTCGGGACCCTACCCCCCCCCCCCACAAATCCCCCACTATGAAACAATAAATCTACTTCCGAGATAACAACCGCTGCTGTTCTTTGATAACAGAGAAGCAGAAGATTCATCTTATGTAATTTATGACCCGTTTTGCCTAACAAGGAGGAGATGAAACAGAAAGTAAATCCCACTGCTCTTTCTTCAAAATTTCTCACCTCCATAAAACCATTTTGTCAACTTTCTTTCCCTATAGACACAACTTATGAAACTTCAATTTGTAATAAACCACATTGTTTGCTGTACATTTTAACACCGTTTGTTAGAATAATTTTATTTTGGTGATTATTATTTTTTTACACAGTGATTGTTTTTTGCCAAAACAAAATGGCCGACATTTTTCCAGTTTTCCTAGACTATAGTTTTTATCGCTCTCAGAGTAAAATTTCACTCAAAATTTCTCACCTCCATGTCATGTTATGTCATTTATAGCACACATTGTTTCAGGGGAAAGCACAAAGGCAGATCAATTAACCCCACCTCTTTGTACAGCCAAGAATCTTAACCCTGAGCAACTGATTTTCTGCTACACAAATGGTCCACAAATAACTGTTTATTCAACTATAAACCACAAGAATTCATGTCTAATGTATAAAATGATGACTATTTTATCCTACATACTGGTCCAATGGGATGTGTTAGAATAATGATGCAATAGTTTCAATATTAGAAAATACTTGGATTAGTAGAAATCTTTACAAAAATGTACGGGTGCTAAAAATATGGTGCCTAGTACTGCTTTATCCTATACATTATATTATATCATCGTCACACCAGCCTCACCTGGAGGGTTTGTGGGCCGCCAACTAAAGATCTTTAATGACCCGTGTCTTGTGCCATTTTCTACATTTCTAAAGCCATTCACCCAGATGAATGGGTTAGGGTTATCATTCAGTCACATTTAAATAAAATCTGTCAGAGGAAAACACGACAGCTCTGAGAAATATCATGAACACAGTCTAAACATGTCGAACATGTTCCATATACCTCTGGCGCTCTGACCCACTTGATTTTCTTTGTATCTGGTTTATTTTTGTATCTTCTTGGAAACGAGTTTAATATGGGTAATGATGGACGGTGTGTGTAGTGGGGTGACACCGAGTTCTGAAGTTAGTAGTTTATACATTTAAAGAGGGTCTACAGACAGAGACTTTCTTTACAGAGGGCTTTGAGAGGGTCTAAATAAATAGGAGAGAGAGGGTCTAAATAAAGGGGAAAGTGTCTAGCATATGTGTTTTAGAACAATCTCAACATAATACATAAGTAAAAGAGTTGAATACATATGAAGGCAGTTTTAAGAAATAAGAAAAATATAAGAAAAGATTATTAAAAAAATAACGAAGAGTTTTGACAAAGAATCGAGCAAACCAAGTAACAATTGTTTTTGTCAGTATTTTAAATATGGACTTGGGCCTGAAAAGTTACTTAAGTTCAAAGGTCGACAATTTAAAACGTCTGTTAAAGACAATGTGACAATAAATTGGGTAAAAATGATTCGGAACGTCAATGAGTGGTGCAAGATATACAAATACGATTTAGATTTCAACTCGACAGACTCGGTACATCTAAACAGTAGGCTGGACTTAGCTCTTTGCGATCATAATTAATCAATGTGCAAGATATTGCTTTTGCCTTCCTTCTACTCATGTGTGTTTTAATTAGCACGCATTTACTTTCTCCACAGCAGTTATTCACATTATTGATTTTATGGTAATGTGTGTATAGTTGCCGCCCTGTTTGTATTGAGGTAAACATTCTATCAACTCGGTGACAGATGTACATTCCTCATCGATTTTTTTTTGGATGAGTCATACGGGAGCCTTTAGACAGCCTGCTATTGGCGATGGATTTAATTTTCATCGGACAAACATATAGTTTAGGAGTCAGCGACTTGAGGGAGATACTTTATAAGCCGCCATTGTTTATGTAACTTTTTGAGTTTCTGCATTACAAGTATTTACCCATTGTTGGGTAATACAAATGTTTAACTAACTACAAACTATTTTCAGAACAAAGCCTTCGGAGATATTCAAAAGTCTGTGCAAATCACTGGTAAACGAGGATAAAAACCATAGATCTAAAGTCTTCGGAAATTATTTTTATTACATTTTTTAAAAGTAGACAAAAAGACTAGGAACGGAAAAGCGAAATAAGAAAATCTCAAATAGACCTACAAACATCATTAAAATATTAAAGGACCTTCAATTACTTAAACATAAAATATTGCATTTATCGTCGGGAAGAATTGCCCAATCCCATTTAAATTTTAAGTCCTTGTGTTAACTGCCTAGAGTTTTTGAAGGAAAATTTCAGCCAATTAACGAATTGCTTAAATTTTTATTGTTGAGGTATGTTCAGTTTGACGCCATCTTACTTTATAGGGTAGAGTGGTGACAACAGTTGAAAAGCCTATCGCGTTTTCATAAAGTCCTTAAAAATCCAAATCATTATTTGTTTGTTGGATTTGTTGGTTGGATTTGTTTGGTTGCAGTACAAAAATGTTTAACAAGGATGTCGCTTCCAGTGAAATCGTGTTACAGACATAACCGCTTGTTTTTCAAAAAAACACATAGCGGTCTACAGTTCTTAGAATATACACATTTATTAATAGAAGTAAGATGGAGGGACAGATAGACCTAAAAATTGCGAAACTGTGTTTTGAGACTCAGGTTAGGGGGGGGGGGGGGGGGGGGAGGGTATGTGTGTGGGTGAGAATGGAAAGGGGAAAAAGTTTCGCCACGAGTGAGACCGGAACGATTCCTATGACGTATATTTTTATTCATAAGCATATTTTTTAAACTGTACACTGATGAAGATAGGTTGAAGTTATGTTATTTAAACGTTGGGAAAAACCTAGTGATTATATTGAAAAAAAATTCGTCGCCTTTCAATGATCAAATTATTTTTTAAATACAAGTCTCTGGTGAACGTGCACACAGCCCGCTACGTTATGTACTGCCAGCTGGGTGATACAACACAACACACAGCAGCAATGTCGGGTCACAAGCAGCCATACCGCCACGCATGAAACTTTCAAAGAGCTATTTGAATGTTTCCTCAACATCTCTGCATGCTGTCCGAGGTAATGTTGATGTTCCTGTAAAGAAGAGAAAACTTTCAAAGAGCTATTTGAATGTTTCCTCAACATCTCTGCATGCTGTCCGAGGTAATGTTGATGTTCATGTAAAGAAGAGAAAACTTTCAAAGAGCTATTTGAATGTTTCCTCAACATCTCTGCATACTGTCCGAGGTAATGTTGACAACTCGGAGAGCTGCGATGCGGAGGCTGTTGCAGTCAATCGGGAAATTAAGAACATGTTTCTGAGTGAAGGAAAACTATCCAACGGCTCATCTTTCAATATTTACACAACGTCTGCTAATGAGGGAGATATTTTATAAACCGCCATTGTTTATTTGACTTTTATATTTCTGCATTACACAGATTTATCCATGGTCGTGAAATACAAACATTTGGCTAACTCGAAAAGGAAAAAAAGAAAACAGAAAATCTCAAACCGACATACGAACACATTAAAAAAGGAAGGGCCTTCAATTACTTGAAACATTGCATTGATTGTCAGGAATAATTGCCCAATTCCATTTCAATTCTAAGTCCTAGCATTAACTGTCTAGAGTTTGTTGCTCAACATCAATTTCTACTCTCATAAGAAGAATCTCCTAAAGTATGTTTAAATTGGAATTCTAATTAATTTGGTTTATATTACACAAGGTTCCTACACAACATTTCACTGCTTGGCCTAACAAAGTTATGTAAAAACTTTCTCCTTACCCTTATATTTTAAATCTCTCATGTTTTCGGTCCGTGTCAAATGCTGCACCAGTGGGGCGATACATTTTTTCATCAGTCCGGGTTAACACCGTACCACAGCCCATCTTATCGAAGAACCGGGATCTCGCGTCAAACCGACGACACTCGGAGTTGGCCTGGGAAATGCAGGTTGGTAGCGTAAGCTGACGTCGGATCCCAACTCTAATGTATAGATCTGACACAAAGTGAACACCCCTGGACTTATGAGAGATACAAAAAGGAAACGTGCTAAATAGACTGATAAAACAAATTGTGTTTATTGTAGAACCAATAAGAATAAAATATACTTTAAATAAGAAATAGCACCTCCGACAAAAAAAAAACAAGAAAAAAGAAATGGCGAGAAGTTTCGCTACGAGCGGGAACGGAACAATTCATGCGACGTATGTCTTATTCATAGCATATTTCTTTTTACTGTACACTGAGGTAGATTGGTTGAAATTGGGTTATTTAAACGTTGGGAAAAGGCAAGTGATTTTATTGAACAATTCGTCGCCTTTGAATGATCAAATTATTTATTTTTTAAATACAAGTCATGGGTAAACGTGCACAAAGCCCGCTACGTTTTGTATTGCCAGCTGAGTGATACAACACGACACACAGCAGAAATGTCGGGTCACAAGCTGTCATACCGCCCCGCACAGCACAAAATCTTCGATCGACCCAACCAATCCAACGCTCGCTAGGATTTCTGTTGCGTGACCAAACCAGAGCCTATATAAACCCAAGCACAGGTGAGAGAGACCGCTGGTGCGTGATGCTGTCTCATGATAGAACAACGCCGCTGAACCTTAATCTACAACAAGACTGGCTGTATTGTGGCAAGAAAATGCTGTGGCGAGACAGACGGCAATCTGCATCGTTCAACACTTTGACTTCAAATGCGAATCACACAACTGCAGTGTGGTGTACAAATCACACCCCAGCTGTAGGTGGTGGTGTCGCTCGCGTGGATGTTTGCAAAAGTTTGCAGAAAGTCTGCAAGCAATGTCGTATCTAAAATCTAACCAATATTCCAACAGTAATGGCGAGATGCGAACGACAACAGCAATACTCGCAGCCGACGATAACAGATACATATATATATGTATATATGTATATATGCCTATAAGAAATCATGACGTCACGAATTGTATATAAAGAGAGTTGGCATGTGAGCCCTTTTAAAACGCCTTTAAATTTCATACCAGAATAAAGCTGTTATTAGTTGTTAAAATGGACGTGCGGAATGGAACTCATGCCTTGAGCCAGACTTTAGAGAGATGCGATACGGCTGTTGATGCAGTCACTAGGGGCGTCAGGAACATGTCGCTGAGTGAAAAAAGAAAGCATGTTGACGTCGACAATGATCACACTAACGATGTTCCTGTAAAGAAGAGAAAACTTTCAAAGAGCTATTTGAATGTTTCCTCAACATCTCTGCATGCTGTCCGAGGTAATGTTGATGTTCCTGTAAAGAAGAGAAAACTTTCAAAGAGCTATTTGAATGTTTCCTCAACATCTCGGCATGCTGTCCGAGGTAATGTTGACAACTCAGAGAGCTGCGATGCGGAAGCTGTTGCAGTCAATCGGGACATTAAGAACATGTTTCTGAGTGAAGGAAAACAATCCAACGGCTCATCTTTCAATATTTACACAACGTCTGCTCATGTTTTCCGAGATGATGTTGATGGTGCTGAGATCATGGACATCTGAACAACGATAGTGGTTCACAATTTGTTCAGCTAACGTTCACTCTGAACAATAAATCGAGCTATTTCGGACAAACAATTTTGTACTTTTATCGTCAAAGAAATCCTAACCTCATATTAAATATCTGCCAAACCTCAGTAAAATAATCATCATCTATAAACAACATGGCCGTCACAGTACACAGAAATGAAACTATTCAAGTAGAACAAATCCAGGAGTTTCAACCTTTTTGGGAAAATTCACGTACGATCTAACACAAACTTAAATTAATAAAATGACGTAACTACCATTGCTTGTACCTGTTTTTTTTTATTTTTTTTATTTTTTTTAATACTATAAGTCCGTGTTAACACCGTACCACAGCCCATCAAATCGAAGTACCGGGATCTCACGTTAAACCGACGACACTCGGAGTTGGCGGGGGAAATGCAGGTTAGTGGCGCAAGCTGACGTCGGATCTAAACTCTAATGTATAGGTCTGACACAAAGTGAACACCCTCTGACTTATGGAGGAGACAAAAAGGAAACGTGCTAAATAGACTGATAAAACAAATTGTGTTTATTGTAGAACCAATTAGAATAAAATATACTTTAAATAAAGACTAATACCTACGACAAAAAAAAAAGAAAGGGGTAGAAGTTTCGCAACGAGCGGGAACGGAACTATTCATCAGACGTATGTCTTATCCATAGCATATTTCTTTGTACTGTACACTGATGTAGATAGGTTTGAAATTGGGTTTTTTAAACTTTGGGAAAAAAACAGTGATTTTATTGAAAAAATGTGTCGCCTTTGAATGATCAAATTATTTTTTTTAAATACAAGTCGTGGGTAAAAGTGCACACAGCCCGCTATGTTTTGCCAGCGGGGTGATACCCAGAGTTTCTTCCAGAACCCCCCCCCCCCCCCGAACGAAATGAAATTTATATAATTAATATAGAAAATATATACTTTTAACAGTGTCCGCCCCCCCCCCCCCGAAGAAAGTCTACCGCCCCCCCCCCCGAAAATTTCAAGTGCCCCCCCCCCCCCCGGAGAAAAAAGTCTGGAAGAAACACTGGTGATACCCGTCCGCATTGTTGCAACCTAGTCGTACATATAAGGGAGACAGAAGGGAGTTGCATGTTTCTGGGTGGTGGGGGGGGGGGGAGAGGGTAGGGAGTTTCCCACTCAGTTGAGGATTTTAGCGATGCGTGAAAATGCACGGGTGCCGGATGTCGTATCTCACATTCAAATGTTATAGGCTGATTCACTGTATTACTTACCAAAACTGCTGCAGCGCTTGTGGTCTTATTAATATGGGGTGGTCCCTGCCTATACACTATGAAAGGACTTGGGGCCTTTTTTTTTTTAATTTTCAATAATTTCTACAGTACAAAAAAAACAACTTGATTTCTATTTTCTTTTGTAATAGATTGAAATAATTGTGAGGTCAAGGGAACTCACTCTTCTGTATTAGTTATATTTATAATATTGTTATCTTGAGTGATGTCCCTTGTGCATTGTACTTCCGTCCTTGCCGGTTAACAATTAAAGCTGTTTACATACTCATGGCTTCTATCTCCGTTGTATTCATAATCTACCTCAACTGGCGACGAAGGATAAACATCTACTAGAAAGAGCACCTAATTACGCAAAAAAGAGGTTTGCTAGAGCTTATTAGCTAATTATTTCTAGAATTATGGCGCTGTATGGCCAAATAAAAGAATTTGATGCGAATGATGAAATCATTCAAGATTACCTAGAGAGGTTAAGCTTTTACCTAGAAGCTAACAACGTGACGATAGAAGCCAAAAAGAGAGCTGTTTTGTTAACAGTCATAGGGCCTCAACAATTTAGGCTACTAAAAGACTTATGCGCACCAGCTAGTCTAACTACCAAGAGCTTTAACGAGCTGAGCAAATTGCTAACAGACCACCATGCGCCTACCCCATCAAAGTTTTTATGTAGAGCTAGATTTGACAGTAGGACTCGTCAACCAAACGAGTCAATATCAGAATATGTTGCTGCTTTACGTCATTTAAGTAGATTCTGTGAATTTGGAGAAACGCTGTCTGACAGACTATGTGAAAAGTTTGTGACAGGTGTAAACAGCCCTGATATTCAAAGAAAGTTGCTGCTCGAGTCAGATCTAAAATTGGAAAAAGCAATACAACTTGCAACTTCATACCAGCAGTCATCAGATGCGGCGAAATCTCTTACGCCTTCAGGGATCCATGCAGTAAACAGCAGGTTAGTCAATAAACATCAACCCCATCAGAGCATTCCAACTTATGCTAAACAGCCTGCTCGTTCAAATCCTAGATCTAAATCTAGTAATAATTATCAAAAATGTCATCGATGCAAGGGTCCCCATGCATCTCATCGGTGCAAGTTCAAGTTAGCAACTTGTTATAAGTGCGGTAAGCAAGGTCACATTGCCAAGGCCTGCTTTGCAAAGTCTTCGTCTGTCGCTAAATCTAGCCAGTCAAGACAGTACCGCAACCAAAAGCAGCACTATGTTAACTCTCACCAAGACTACCTAACCCAACCAATGAACCACTCTACCTGTGAAAATGCTCAAATTGATTTGCAGCCGGATTTCAACCTGTTCTCTGTGAAATCAATAAGTCATGCTCCCATCAGTGTACAAGTTTATATCAACGGTAAGAGCATCAGCTTCCAACTTGACACTGGAGCATCTCTAACAGTCATAACAAAGAAAGATTTTGACGCTGTCAAAGGAGAATCAGTGCCTCTACAGCCATGTCACAAGTGTCTAACAACATACACTGGTGACAATGTTCCGGTAATAGGAGAGTGTATGGTTCATGTAAGTTATAATGGTCAAAGTGTTAAACTTCCTCTTCTTGTGGTTGAAGGAAATGGACCGCCATTACTAGGTAGGAACTGGTTAAGTGATCTTAAGTTAAATTGGGAGAGTATTTGTTCATTGAAGAATGTAAAAGAATCTAGTCTTGCTTCACTAGATAAAGTTATATCTGAAAATAAATGTGTTTTTGGTAATTCAGGTTTACTAAATGATAGAACAGTGAAGTTAAGCATTAAAGACACAAATCCAAGATACTGCAAAGCTAGAGTTCCACCTTATGCAATGAGGAATAAAATTGAAAATGAGCTAAGTAGATTGGAATCTAATGGCATTATAAAGAAGGTAGACTATTCCGATTGGGCGACACCCATTGTGCCAGTGTTAAAGAAGGATGGTTCTATAAGAATTTGTGGAGATTATAAAACCACACTGAATAAGCAAATAGAGCTAAATAGGTACCCTATACCTAACATTGAGGAAATTTCTTTGAATTTGGCAGGAGGAGACAAATTCACTGAATTAGACTTTAGTCATGCTTACACTCAACTAGAACTGCATCCAGATTCAAAAGTCTATACGACAATAAACACACATAAAGGACTCTACCAATATGAAAGACTATGTTTTGGCATATCATCCAGCCCTGGAATTTTCCAAGCTGTCATGGACAGTATTTTTAAGGATATTCCAAATGTTTGTGTGTACTTTGACAATGTGTACATAACTGGTAAGAATGACACTGAACATCTTAAAACACTTGATAAAGTATTAAAAATTGTTGGTGAAAAAGGTTTAAAGATAAACAAAGATAAATGTCAATTCATGTTGACAGAAATTAGTTTTCTTGGTTATATATTAAGCAAGCAAGGTATCAGACCTCAACCTGAGAAAACAAAAGCCATTAAAGAAGCACCCAAACCTGAAAATACCCAACAACTAAGAGCTTTTTTGGGCTTGATAAATTACTATGCAAAGTTCATAGGAAATCTGTCTGGTAAACTATCACCACTGTACAAGCTGCTACAGAAAAATGCAACTTGGCACTGGGGTAAACAACAAGAAGCTGCTTTTAATACAGCAAAAGAGGCTTTGTCTGCTGACACCTTACTAACTCACTATGACCCAGGGAAAAGACTTATATTAACATGTGATGCTTCACCAGATGGTGTAGGAGCAGTCTTGTCCCACATGGATGAGAAGGGTGACAGACCCATTGCTTTTGCCAGTAGATCTTTGAACCAGGCTGAGAAAAATTATTCTCAGTTAGATAGGGAAGGCTTAGGCATCATTTTTGGTGTTAAGAAATTTCATAAGTTTCTGTTTGGTAGGAAGTTCACCATCTTTACAGATCATAAACCATTGCTAGGTTTATTTGGAGAAAACAAAACCCTACCTGAGCATGCCTCACCAAGAATTCAAAGATGGGCTATCACACTAACTGCATACAATTATGAATTGAAATACAAACCTGGATCTGAGAATAGTGCAGATAGTCTTAGTAGATTACCTTTAAAAAAAACCAAAGCCTGAGCTATGTACCAGAAGATGTATTTGTTCTGTTCACTATCATGGATAACTCCAATATAAGTGTGAATGATATTAAAAGAGAAACACAAAAAGATGAGTGCTTAATAGAAGTATATGAGTACTGTAAGAATGGTTGGCCTGAAGAGTCTGTGAATGATGACTTAAGGCCATATAAAATAAGAAATAAAAACCTTTGTGAAGATAATATAAAAGATGGAGAAGATACAGTCCATTATCAGTCAGTTGCCTAAACAAAGTATTTGTAACTTAATAAATGATTATGGTGATATGGCAATTTCAAATGTTTTAAAGAGAATACATTAGTAAGAAGGAATGTGATCATCAAACAACTTTGCTAACATCATTAGCACTTACAGAAACTAAAAGGGTAACATCAAAAGAAAAGAGCAAAGATTTTTGCCATTGAATACGCCCACTTCAAATACTGGATCACAGTTGCAAAGTGATATTGTCCAGGATATTACTTTTAAACAGTATGTTTGGTTACGAAAAAGCACTATCAGATTACCTGAGGAAATTGATCAATCAAAGAAATCTATGCCAGTTAAGGATCTGAATAATAGCATAATACTTTCAGATGCCAATTAAAAAAGTAAATCATGACAAACATTCATTGAAAGAGAATTTGGTGTTAATAAGAATGTGTATCTAAGAAATTATGGGAGAAAGGAAAAATGGATACCAGGTCAAATTGTTCAATGTACAGGACCTGTGCCTTATAAAGTTAAAAATAACTTGTGCAGATAATAAGTGTGAATCTGTCAATCCCACCAAATCTGATCAGTTCACACCAACTGTTTGTTCCACAACCAAGTTCTGTTGATATGAGTGAACCAAGTTGTCTGGAGTCAGAAAATGTAAATTCTGGAGTTAATGATTTAAATCCTAGACCTCCTGAGATAGAGAATCCAGATGGTCAGAATCTTGAGTCACCAAATCAGAAGCCACTGAGAAGGTCAAGCAGGACAATCAAAGTCCCAAATAAGTTAGACCTATGATTTTAAAGGTCAAAAGGACTTTGACATCATTGTTTTGTATCTTGATTATGTTGTAGCATATTGTGCATTGTTTGTAAGGATGTAATCTACCATAGTGTTCATGTTACAATATAATTGGTGATTTTAGGATACTATCAATTGTTCTATTGAGAGATGTGTTATTGTGTTCTAAGGGTAAAGGGATGTAATAGATTGAAATAATTGTGAGGTCAAGGGAACTCACTCTTCTGTATTAGTTATATTTATAATATTGTTATCTTGAGTGATGTCCCTTGTGCATTGTACTTCCGTCCTTGCCGGTTAACAATTAAAGCTGTTTACATACTCATGGCTTCTATCTCCGTTGTATTCATAATCTACCTCATCTTTTTCAAATTGTTTATATAACAGTTTTTGTAACAGAAAACACTCTACAGATTTTTATTTCAAAATTTAGTATAGTAAATCTCTAACTCCTATGTTACCATTTTAAAATCTCGAACTCCTATGTTACCATTTGACCTCACACACAAACTTTTGGAAACACCTAACAGCTGTTCAGATACCGTATTTAATTTTTTTTATTTTTTTTTAAGTTTGTCCAATTCTCGCCCTAACGGCGGAATTTTACCATTCGTCGTCATGGGGGCCAGGGGTGGGGTTCACATGGTTCTTGGCATCCTCCAGTGGCTCGGGGGTGGGTTCAACACCAGCGCCCTCATCATCGTCCCAACCCCATTCATCATCGTCGCCACGTGGTTTCTCGGTGGTTGCAATGACGTCACCTGATTGGCCGTCACCAGAATCGTGGTTGGAGATTGGGGTAAGAACGGCGTTATCGTCTGGGATCGGGGTAGAAATCTCGGCCTCGCCCTCGTCAAACTCGTCATAATCCACGTCGTCCAAAACCTCAGGGAGGTCCGGCAGACCCTCGCACCTGTCCTCGTACACCAGCTCGTCCAGCGTGATGGATGTGGTGTTGACGTTCTCGGGACTCGAACCTACACCAGAGGCAGCGATATCCAGGGTCTCGTTTTCGTAGTCTCGGACTTGAATTTCGAGCTGTGGATTGAAAATGAAATAGGTCTCGTGTGACGTTATTGACAGTGGCGTAGCTAGGGTATTTGAGATATGTCTCGTATGACGTCATTGACAGTGGCATAGCTTGGGTATTTGTTGCCTAACGTCGACCGTTGTGTTAAATAATTTAGCTAGATTACCTCACCTGTAAGCCAAAGTGCTGCATAGATTAGCTAGATTACCTCACCTGTAAGCCAAAGTCCTGCATAGATTAGCTAGATTACCTCACCTGTAAGCCAAAGTCCTGCATAGATTAACTAGATTACCTCACATGTAAGCCAAAGTCTTGCATAGATTAGCTAGATTACCTCACCTGCAAGCCAAAGTCTTGCATAGATTAGCTAGATTACCTCATCTGTAAGCCAAAGTCCTGCATAGATTAGCTAGATTACCTCACCTGTAAGCCAAAGTCCTGCATAGATTAGCTAGATTACCTCACCTGTGAGCCCGCTTCCTGAAAAGATTCGTCCGTCTTAAAGCCGATAGTAAACGTATTTCTGGCCGGAAGAATGTATTCATACGCCCTTTCCTCATCCCACAGCCCGCAGTACCTGACTCCATAGACACACAGGTAATCTCTGGAGCAATAGGTGTCGTTCTCAAGGCTCAAAGACCTGTGGAAGAAATGAACAATGCGTGTCGTTCTCTAGATTTATGTGAGGAATGAAGGAGAAATGCGTGTCCTCTAGATTTATGTGAGGAAGGAAGGAGAAATGCGTGTCCTCTAGATTTATGTGAGGAAGGAAGGAGAAATGCGTGTCCTCTAGATTTATGTGAGGAAGGAAGGAGAAATGCGTGTCCTCTAGATTTATGTGAGGAAGGAAGGAGAAATGCGTGTCCTCTAGATTTATGTGAGGAATGAAGGAGAAATGCGTGTCCTCTAGATTTATGTGAGGAAGGAAGGAGAAATGCGTGTCCTCTAGATTTATGTGAGGAATGAAGGAGAAATGCGTGTCCTCTAGATTTATGTGAGGAATGAAGGAGAAATGCGTGTCCTCTAGATTTATGTGAGGAATGAAGGACAAATGCGTGTCCTCTAGATTTATGTGAGGAATGAAGGAGAAATGCGTGTCCTCTAGATTTATGTGAGGAAGGAAGGAGAAATGCGTGTCCTCTAGATTTATGTGAGGAAGGAAGGAGAAATGCGTGTCCTCTAGATTTATGTGAGGAAGGAAGGAGAAATGCGTGTCCTCTAGATTTATGTGAGGAATGAAGGAGAAATGCGTGTCCTCTAGATTTATGTGCGGAAGGAAGGAGAAATGCGTGTCCTCTAGATTTATGTGAGGAATGAAGGAGAAATGCGTGTCCTCTAGATTTATGTGAGGAAGGAAGGAGAAATGCGTGTCCTCTAGATTTATGTGAGGAAGGAAGGAGAAATGCGTGTCCTCTAGATTTATGTGAGGAAGGAAGGAGAAATGCGTGTCCTCTAGATTTATGTGAGGAAGGAAGGAGAAATGCGTGTCCTCTAGATTTATGTGAGGAAGGAAGGAGAAATGCATGTCCTCTAGATTTATGTGAGGAAGGAAGGAGAAATGCGTGTCCTCTAGATTTATGTGAGGAAGGAAGGAGAAATGCGTGTCCTCTAGATTTATGTGAGGAATGAAGGAGAAATGCGTGTCCTCTAGATTTATGTGAGGAATGAAGGAGAAATGCGTGTCCTCTAGATTTATGTGAGGAATGAAGGAGAAATGCGTGTCCTCTAGATTTATGTGAGGAAGGAAGGAGAAATGCGTGTCCTCTAGATTTATGTGAGGAAGGAAGGAGAAATGCGTGTCCTCTAGATTTATGTGAGGAAGGAAGGAGAAATGCGTGTCCTCTAGATTTATGTGAGGAAGGAAGGAGAAATGCGTGTCCTCTAGATTTATGTGAGGAATGAAGGAGAAATGCGTGTCCTCTAGATTTATGTGAGGAAGGAAGGAGAAATGCGTGTCCTCTAGATTTATGTGAGGAAGGAAGGAGAAATGCGTGTCCTCTAGATTTATGTGAGGAAGGAAGGAGAAATGCGTGTCCTCTAGATTTATGTGAGGAATGAAGGAGAAATGCGTGTCCTCTAGATTTATGTGAGGAAGGAAGGAGAAATGCGTGTCCTCTAGATTTATGTGAGGAATGAAGGAGAAATGCGTGTCCTCTAGATTTATGTGAGGAATGAAGGAGAAATGCGTGTCCTCTAGATTTATGTGAGGAATGAAGGAGAAATGCGTGTCCTCTAGATTTATGTGAGGAATGAAGGAGAAATGCGTGTCCTCTAGATTTATGTGAGGAATGAAGGAGAAATGCGTGTCCTCTAGATTTATGTGAGGAATGAAGGAGAAATGCGTGTCCTCTAGATTTATGTGAGGAATGAAGGACAAATGCGTGTCCTCTAGATTTATGTGAGGAATGAAGGAGAAATGCGTGTCCTCTAGATTTATGTGAGGAAGGAAGGAGAAATGCGTGTCCTCTAGATTTATGTGAGGAAGGAAGGAGAAATGCGTGTCCTCTAGATTTATGTGAGGAAGGAAGGAGAAATGCGTGTCCTCTAGATTTATGTGAGGAATGAAGGAGAAATGCGTGTCCTCTAGATTTATGTGAGGAATGAAGGAGAAATGCGTGTCCTCTAGATTTATGTGAGGAAGGAAGGAGAAATGCGTGTCCTCTAGATTTATGTGAGGAAGGAAGGAGAAATGCGTGTCCTCTAGATTTATGTGAGGAAGGAAGGAGAAATGCGTGTCGTTCTTTAGATTTAAGTGAGGGGATAAAAAGAGCATTGCATGTCGTTCTCAATTTTCCAATACCAAGTTCAAGAAAGATACCCAAATACTCACCTATCAAGGTATTTAAAAATATATCGAAGATTTCTCAGTTATTGAACTTTTAAATTTTATGAAAACGGGAAGCAGCCATATGATAGAAAGTGGACGGGGAGAGGTGGGGGATTATTGGGCTAGTTTTCTTATAGATATCATTATTATTCCCCCCCCCCCTCCACAATTTTACACAAGCTCAATTTAAATTAATGTATTCACCTTTTAACCAGGCTGTTATAGTGAATGCGCCTTCACACCGGTCATGGTCCCTATGTCTTTTAACCTAACTGGTCGGGGAACTTAGCCTTTGTACTAACCTGCAATAGCGCCTTTTCCTTTCACCTACCTGAAAATAACTTTTTACCAACCCGCCTATACCTTTCACCTACCTGAAAATAACTTTTTACCAACTCGCCTATACATTTCACTTACCTGGAAATAACATTTACCAACCCGCCTATACCTTTCACCTACCTGAAAATAACTTTTTACCAACCCGCCTATACCTTTCACCTACCTGAAAATAACTTTTTACCAACCCGCCTATACCTTTCACCTACCTGAAAATAACATTTACCAACCCGCCTATACCTTTCACCTACCTGAAAATAACTTTTTACCAACTCGCCTATACCTTTCACCTACCTGAAAATAACTTTTTACCAACCCGCCTATACCTTTCACCTACCTGAAAATAACTTTGACGATGAGAGGTGTGTCGCCAGAGATGAAGACAAAATTACAGGTCGAATTCTCAGCGTAGCTGCCATTGCCAAAGTTTGGCGTCTGGATGATGAAACTGTCGTTGTTGGAGATCTCGGTGGATACAGTCAGACCTAATGTGCAGAATTCACCTATCTCGTCAGGTGTCTGGAAAAAATTGAGGTTTTTAAATTTACGAAAAACACATGTATACACTTACGTATGGATACATTTTACAAAATCGAAATGGTCTAAATGAAAATTACCTTAGATTCATCTGAAAATGACACTTGCCACAATGCCAGAAAAGAAACCAAAACTAGAAAGAATTTGGCCATTGTGTCAACTACAAAATAAAATACAAGGAAACAAAACTGGCAGACTTTACTTGTTTGTTGAAAAGAAGTGTGTCCTTTGATGTTTGGCCAACCACCTAAGCTATTTTTTTCTTTAATGAGTAGGTTTTTAATTAAAATTGATTGGGTGTTAATAGTTTAACTCGACTCAGTTCCTAATCAATATTGCAATTAACTTTTTAAAAGTTAAGTCTTCTTATTCTTGTTCATTCTTAATTTTAATGTTGAAAAGGATTCCCTCCAACATAATTAAGTATAAGTGTCAAATGGTTATGCGCCATTAGGCTCCTGACTCCAATGCTGGACTGCTAACCCGTAAGTCTCAAGTTCATATCCGGGTTCTAGTCAGTAGACCGTCCCTGAGTCCACCCAGCTCTGATGGGTACCTAACTCACATTAGGGAAAGTAAAAGCGGCTGGGCATAGTGCTGACCACACTATCTTTTCATATGCCGAGGTTACAGAAACAAGTGAACTTCACTTGCCCCGTAGACCGTCAGGTTTGAAAAGGAACTTTACTTAATTTACTTTACTTACTCCGATTTCAGCCTACTTTTCTTTTTGGATTTACTTCCATGTCTTTGTCCAGCTAAAAGCAAACTACAAGGCAGCAGTTTGTTTTTATATTTTGGAGTTGTCTCTCCTAGAAGAGTGGCAGTCCCCAGCTATCAAGCCTCGTCTGCCCGGGGTTTCGAACTCGGGACTTATCGCAACCATGATTACAATCTCAAATTTGATATAACGGCAGCCATCAGAAGAGAGTGACAGTTTGATTAATAATTATGATAAAACTCCTGTTCTTTTTACTTTCTCGTATATACGAAGTATAGAGAAAGTATTGTAATCGTGCACAAAAATCACTTGAAATTTTAACAATTTTCACCGTATTACACCTCAGTCCTTCATCACATCCGAAGTATAGAGGACTTATTTTAATCGGGCAAAAATTATCAATCCAGATTTATCAAAATTAAGAGGTGTTATGCGTGATCCATTCTGTAAAACTGGGCTTTGCAATCCTGTCCGTATGTCTGTGTGTCTGTCTGTCTGTGTGTCTGTCCGTGTGTAAACACGATAACTTGAGTACCGTTACAGCTAGGTTGATGAAATTTCATATATAAGTATTTTATCAAAATCGTAGATCCGTATCAACTTTTGAGCGATTTCCGATAACCGGAAGTGGTACTTTTTCTACTTTGAATTTTTCAAAAGCCTATAACTTGAGTACTATTTCAGATAGATAAATGAAATTTCACATGTAAGTATAAGATCTAATTCTCTACCTTCTGTTAAATTTTGAGTAATTTCCGTTGACCGGAAGTAGTAATTTACGCTACTACTTCCGATTTCTCAAAAACTAATGTAAATTTTTAAAGTACTAATAATATTGCGCACTATTATGCACTTTTTTATTTGGCGTTCACTTGGTGTGTAATTCTTTTGTCTACGAGATATTATTCTATTTTTAAAACTTTAAGTATCTAGAATGGATTAAAAATCATGTCTACAGCCCGAGTTCCCATCCCCTGTTGTTTTATATAAGAATATTCGAGAAAGTTTAGGGGAGATCACTCCCGGTTTATTAAATATGTATGTATGTCAAGCAAACGTTGACATACAAAAGAAAACTATGTGCTGCCAACTCTAGCTCTCAGAAGTCACTAGTGGAACATGACTGATTTAGTTGCTATAAGGCTGTCAGGGTGACCTTGAACGTGTCAGAGGAAATCGTGGTTAAGCGTGGGTGTTTTCCATACAACTTCAGAAAGCAAAAGTTAATGCTCTGGAAAATATGTCATCTTGGCACGATAAAATAACTTCTTCTAATAATAACTTCGCGGTTTAACTTTTAGGAGCAATTAGGAGTCTTGGGTTTCAAGTTTCTCTTAGAGTTATCCAAAACATCTTTGCTATAACACTTCCTTTAAGACTTAAGAGCTGCTTAATTAAAAATTGACGGAAGAATCAAATAACATTCTCTTGTATGTGCGGGAAAATGCTAGCACAAATGCTGATTCAAAGAAGTGTGCGATTAGTTTGATATAGATCTTGGCCTGTTTATTCCTCGTCCAGCTGGAAAACAAATGCAACCACCCCCCCCCCCCCCCACCCCCAATCCAGTAGGGCGACCCCTAATGCAATCATCATTTTAGTACCTCCCTGGTAAGATATCGATAAATCAACAGAATTAGAGGTCATGAGTCTATAGACTTTGAAGGGGGGGGGGAGGTTGCGGTCCGCACTGGAGGCAGAGTTGCTTCCAGGCATCTCTTCGGGGGGCGTCGCCCCGCGAAGAAAGTCTACCGCCCCCTCCCCCCCTCCCCCCCCCCCCCCCCCCGAACGAGATGGATTTTATATAGTAAATACACTTTTACTAGTGTCCGCCCCCCCCCCCTTCCGAAAAATGTTGATCTCCTCCCCCCCCCCCCCGAAAATATCAAGTGCCCCCCCCCCCCCCCCCCGGAGAAAAAAGTCTGGAAGAAACACTGACTGGAGGACTCCGTTTTTTTGGCGTTTATGGGAAATTATGTTTTACCCTGTTATAATAATAACAAGGGATGACACCTCACCGAGTGACTTCCGACCAAATGACGGCAGGGCGTAGCGACTCATTCTGGCGCCCGAAGCGAACTATCGAATTTGAACCACATTGTGATCTAACAAAATTGAAAACAGTTAAGTCAGTCAGGAAAGCAAAGCAGTAGTCTATTTTGTTAAATTTAACCGTGTATCATTCAGTAATTGAGCTCAGAATTAAGTTTTTAATTATTACTTTTGTCCAGTAACCAGTTTGGCCCCCATGAGGGTCGGCGCCCGTCCCACTCGCCCTCCCCTAGCTACGCCTCTGAATGCAGGCACTATGACTACGGTTACTTTAAAGCCTTGTACCATTGTACTCCACTACACACTGCGAGTTTTTGGATGGTAAGGGGAAAAGCAATTTTAAAAATAATATATTTATACTATAACGTTTTAATACTTTTAATATTTACATAGGTTAATAGTGACTAGTAAACATTACCGAAAAATTAAATCATTAAATCTGTAGATCCATGACTATCAGAGTTTCTTCCAGACATCTATTCTTCCCCCCCCCCCCCCCCTCCCGGATAAAAATGTCAGCTGATAAAAGGTAGACCATTCATGTTAATGAAATTATACATTGGCAGTGAGTTTTAGGAGGTCTACTAATTTTTTTGCGGGCGTCCACTTCAGGGAGGGGGGTGGGTTGTCGAAAGTGGACGTGTGTGGGACAGGGGAGGTGGTCTAAAATTCCAAAAATTTGTAGATGTCATAAAAAGAAAAATAGATGATTCTTAAGCCTAAATTTTATAAACCTAGATTCTAGATCTACTCGTTTGCGAAGGAAATATGTTACTATTTCTTCCGGTTCAAAAACATGGCTAACGTGTGAGCTAAAAATCGAACTAGTGCATACCAAAAGTATTATAATTGCTTATATTGTTCGCAAATGACATATTTATAAATTTAAATTAGTTAATATTCTATATTATTCATCCAGAGAATGACAAACTTTTAAGACTCTGTATATATTGTTCTTATTTATCGGCTTGTAAATATCGCTAACAGTGAAACCGAAAGTGATTGCACAACCAACAATAATGGCGGATTCAACAACAGCAGCTGTAAGTAGTAGATCTATAGTCGTAAGAAATATAACTGCAATGACAATTGTATCTCGTTGATTTTTCTTAGTATTTCTATCATAAATGTGCACAGTTCTAGATATAGAATCTAGATCTAAATATTTATCATGTTTTATTTATTTACATAACAGACCCTAACAAACTCCTGTATTTTATTCAGCATCTGAGTGACATCCACACAAAAACTAAAAAAAATTTAAAACAAAACTGCAGTAAATTTTGGCCTAATTTTTTTGGCAACAATGTCATTGCCTGCACCCGCTCTTATTAATCTGTGCATGCAATCAAACATGTTATAAAAATAGATAGGCCTATCTAGTAGTATCTAGGGTTGCCAGATACCTTTTCCGAAAATACTGGACACCTTTCCATCCTTCCCTTCTCAGGTATGCCGCAAAGCAGAAGAAGGGGGGTAACAGAGTATTATTTCATATACTTGTCCAGTATTTATATTTATTTTATCCTGGACAGTCTGCTCAAATACTGGACTGTCCAGTTCAAAACTGGACACCTGACAACCCTAGGCCTGTCTGGACCATCCATTAATTTTATCTTTTATTGAGCAGTAGAGGGCCAAAACTAATGAGTTGTTGCTATAAGCCTGCTGACATTAAAACTGTGAACTCACAGTGCCCCCTTAACCATGTCACGTTATTTCCTACAGACAAGAATTGAATATTTATACTGAAATTGAATTTGTTAATTCAAGATTTAGTGGGATGCCTGACTTTAGTAGATCAACTTGAAGTAACAAATTATGTTGATCTGCAATCATCAACAAGGCCCATAATTTAACTGAACACCAATTCACCAAATGTTGACCCAAAAAAAATCATTGATTAATAAGAGCTGAAATATTTTAAAGCCTATTTTTTTTCTACACAAAAAAAACAACTTTGCAAGTAAAAATGTAAAAACACTTTGTCATGTTATCAAGTCTCACCTTTTTTAGTCATTTGTTGTTTAATAAAGTTAATTAGGGCGCAATTGTGAAATTAACAACTAGCCCAGTTTCAAATAAATCTATGTTGAAAATTAATTTAAAAAAAACAACATGCTTACATTTCTGTATTAGCCATAAGCAAAATAGTTTTAGGCTTATAACATATAAACTCTAAAGTTTTTAGAGTTAGGGTAGTGATACTAGCTAAAACTGATTTGATACACTCTTTTATCGTCTCGCCCCTGAGTCCACCCTGCTCTGATAGGTACCTGAATTAAGTCTCATTGTCTGGGAAAGTAACATCTGCTGGGCATAGAATTGAATACACTAATCCTTTATATAATAAGATTAAGATCTCTGAAACAGATTAACTCTACTTAATTGGCCTTACATAATTTCTTACATGCTGAAAAGCATAAAAAGAACATTTTTATCAGCGGTATAATAAGTGTCTTGGAAACTAACACAAAAAGTAGCAATGCCTAAAAATAAAAATGGTTTAGCTTAAAATCTTTAATAAATCTGAAAATATGTTTTATTTAAAATCAATTATCATATTAAATTATGTATGGCCAACTAGTAAAAGTAATACTTTTTTAATGTGTACCATGCAGGTCTTGAGTTTATATGGTGTAATAGAAGTAGTATTGTAGTAGCAATATTGAATGCACATATCTAATAACAACCTATTAAAATGTTTCAGAATGCTGAGATTTTAAAGAAATATGCTGTCAAAGTCGCTGTTTCAAGTGTCAAAGAAAGGACAAATGCTATAAGAGATGTTGTAGAGTTTATCAATAAAGGAGGTAGGTTTTTAAAAATGTTTGAAGTTATACATGTTTGCTCAATTTTTTTTTAAATGTATTTATATCTGTTGTCATTAATGAGTCTTGTAAGCTTCATATACACATCTGCTTAGCTTAAATACTTGATCGTTTAACCTGTTAATCTTGATATCTAGGGTATTACCTAGCCTATGTGAAACATAGCATTATTGTATGACTGTTATTGTTCTCTATTTACAGCAATTCCTGAAGGTGCTGTGAAAGGTATTTTTCGTTATCTGACCCAAGCAATAGGAGTGTACAGAGATGGTCAGTCTAGAAGGGCTGCCCTTGAACTGGTCACTTCTATTACCAAATCTCATTTTGACTCATCTGTCAAGGCATTTATAGGAGCTTTTGAAAAATTTGCCCAGGAACAAACCAAGCTTGTCATTTCAAGGTATGCTGGTGTTTTTTATTGGCACATGTTGGGTTCAATTGTGATGACATGTAGTGCAATGCAAATATTCTACTTGCACATAATTCCAATTTTGTTGACGTAGTGCAGTTTTTGGTGTCAGTTATCATCCTTTTAAAATTTTCCAGTCGTAGTTCCTGTGGAGATGCTTTACTAGTACTGACATGGAGTTGCATTCCCTTGCGACAAGCATTGACATCACCAAATGGACTTGCAAGTTCAACCCTGCAACAGTTGGTGAGCTCATTTTTATGAAATGTCATGTGACAAACTTTTATTAGATGACGTGTGACAAACACTTCCTACTTACATTTGAACATTTATTTTTATGCTTTGGTCATATTACACAATGTTTCCAAGTTTTTATGTTACATTCAGACCTACATTGTATTTAATGTGTGTGAACATGATTTGTCATAGGTGAATCTCCAGTCACTGCTTGTTTATGGGGCTGTTTCTGGTAACAATCAAATCATTAAAAGTGCCGCTTACCGCAAACTAAGACGAGTATGGAAAGAGGTAAAAAAATTGTTCTCTTTTATTTTTATTTAGATTATCAAAGAAAATATATTTTTTATACAAGTTATACCAAAATGAAATCTGACTTGACTACTATATTTTATTTTAATGCTGTTTGAAATGTCACAGGTACCCAGCTCATGTGAGAAATATGCTGATGTGCTGGCTCAGTTAGAGCCGTCTTTGTTTAGTTTACCTGTGATAGGATTTGTACTCAAGTTTTTAGCAGCTAACAAGCAATCAGATGTTATTCAAAAACACAAGGTTGGTTTTTTAATTTAAGTTATCCCTTTTTAATAAGTGTTATATATTATGCTTAATTTTTACCTTTGTATTAAAATGCTATTTTTTTCCTTTCAGAATGCTTTCATAGACTTATATATTAAGCAGGTCATAGCAGGCAGATTTGCACCACCAAAAGCATTGCTTGTATGTATATTTATCATTGATAAAAAGATTTTACTAAGCATGCTAACAATTTTGGTGTCAGTAATTGCACATGTTTAAAGTTTTAGATTTTTGTAATAACTTTTTTCTATGAAATCCATACAGTTAAACAACACAGAACTGTTTAGACACTGCAGCCATGAAGACTTTAAGGAGCTTGTTTTACCAGCTGTACAGAAAGCAATGTTGAGAAATCCTGAGATCATTCAAGACAGTAAGTGCTGTATTGTCTGTCTTCTTTTCTTAAATACATGGATTTGCCTATCTTTTTAATAACAATCGACTGTCAATAAGGTATTCTATGTTAAAGTAAACACGAGTGTATTAAATCAGGTTTTTTTTCTCAACTTGTTGGAGAATATTTAATTGAAATTTGTTGTATTTCTAAGATTAAATGAAATTTGTGTTTTCAAATTTGTTACGTTCTTTTCAGCCATTTGTGAACTTATTAGTAACATGAAGCTAGATTTAAGTCAGTATGCCATGGACATAGTCAAGCTTTTTTCTGGTGAGTCTTTTATCAACTCATTGTTTAACTCTAAGATTATATTGTTCATCATTAGACCCACACAAAATCACAGTTTTTATCTCTTTAGGTTCCATTTCATATCAGCTCATTGTTTAACTTTAGGGTGGTATTGTTTATCATTAGACCCACACAAAATCACAGTTTTTATCTCTTTAGGTTCCATTTCATGTCAGCTCATTGTTTAACTGTAAGATGGTATTGTTTAATAATTAGACCCATACAAAATCACTGTTTTATCTCTTTAGGTTCCATTTCATCAAAAGAGGAGTCAAACAGAGCTGTGGCTGTGGAAGCTATAAAAAATCTGGCACATCAGTGCAGTGACCCTGGCGCAGTAGAGAAAGTGGCCAACCATCTGTTCAAAGTGCTTGGAGGTACACTGCTTGTTTGTGGACCCGATCAAATAACTTTATAAAATATACTTTTTTTTTTTTTTTTTATTTTGTCAGACAGTGATGTGGTAGCTTATTACCAAAGTTGTAATTTGGTTTGCATTTTTTTTTTCCTTTATAAACATCAAATAGTCACATTTGTTTTTTTGCCTAGGTTCTGAAGGGAAATTAACATTTGCCGATCAAAAGATTAGTGTCCTACAGGGCATTGGTAACCTGGTCTATAACACAGTCAGTGGTACAAGTTCTCTTCAGTCCCTGAGCACCACAATATCAGAGATGTTCCTCTCCACATTGCAGCAGGAAGGTTTGTTCTTCTGATGCTTATTGGTAGCCAATGTCTCGGTTATACTTGGATATAAAACATGTCATGTTGAGTTACATGAGCAATGTTTCTTTTTTTCATGATTCATTTAGTTTTACTATTTGTATGCTATGATTTTTCTTAAAACTAATGTAAATTATGATTTCTGTTCTATGTTTTCAGTGCATGAAGGCACTCTGATACACACTTTGTCTATGTTGAGCCTTTGGTGTGGCAAGTTTTACACAGATATTCCTGACAAACTACTACTGTGGTTCCCGGTACAGAAATATTTTTCATTAAATTAAATTTAATTTAACAAAGTTTTAAAAATTGTTTTTTTAAAACCTTAAACATATTTTTATTTTACAACTTGTTTTACAGAAAGGCCTAGCATTAAAAACATCAACCTCAGGTGTGAGAAATGCCTATATTAGGTGCATGAATGCTGCTTTTCATGGTAAGTCAACACTGTGCAGATTGCTTTGAGATTTGCTATAAAAAACCATTTTTAGAAGTTGGTCTATACTTATTAAAAAATATGTTTATTAACTTTCAGGTGACACTTTGCAAAAAGCTTCTCAGGTGCTGCCCCTGCTACTGCAGACACTGGACAAGGCAGAGAAGCAGCCAACACTCCCCCAGCTGGTGTCTGAAGCTATCAGTGCCTCCTGTCTCCTGGTCAAGATTGCTTTGGTTGACATACAGTCAGGTGTGTTCTAAATTACAACTCTTTGGTTGACATACAGTCAGGTGTGTTCTAAATTACAACTCTTTGGTTGACATTCAATCAACCTACTTGTTATTGGAGCCATAGTGTTTTCAATTGTTGTACATTCTTTATTTATATACATTAGGACTTAATATGATGAAGAGATAATGTGCTGTTTCTATACTTAGTTTTATGTTGCTCCTACAGAATCCAAATTAGGACCTTTTTGGACCATGATTTTAGACAGCAAAAAACAGTACCTTGTGAATGAGAAGTTTTTAGCCTCAGCCTCAGAAGAAAGTAAGTCTCATTTACTGTACTCTACAAGTTTGTATTGCTGGTAACACATTAATAAGCTTCTGTGTAGACTTTATGTTTATTAAAATTTAAAATGTTTTTTTTTTAGCTTTACAGAGTTTAGTGTTTTTACTGGAAAGGTTAATCCTGGATTATCCATCCAAGATGACAGATGAAGTAGCCAGGTAACTTAGTTATGTTATAATGAAAAAAATATCTTTGTCTACAAACCAAAACTATTCCTTATCTTTTTAAAAGTTTTGAGTTGTTTTCTTAATTTGCCCTTATTTTGTTTTAGCCCCTAACTATATAGCAGTTATTATCCCCATTCTAGCAGCACATTTTTGTGCTGAACAATATATGGTGGGTTAAGTAACATTTAAAAGCTGGATACAATTGTTTTTAACATTATTTAAGCTAGATTTGATGTCTACTTAGAGAAGCAACAGTTACTAGGAAGTATGCTTTTTAAAATAAGTTATATTTCTAGGAGCCAGCCATGTTTTGGAGTACATAAATAACTGTTTACCTCCACAGGCCATATTACAGGGCTTTAATTTTCTGTTTGTGTCGACGTTCATGGGCAGTCAGGCACGCTGCACAAACATCAACCAAAAAGATTCTTGCACTGTTAGGTGGGGCCAAGATAGCCATAGCACTTATCCAGGAGTTCCAAAGAGTTCTGGAGTCACAAAAAGTAAGATATTTTTAAAATAAATTTATCAGTACATGTTTATGATGTTTTTACTAGCCTACAATGTTTTTATGCCAAACAATTGGATATTTCAGCTTTCAGAACTTCAGAAGTTCCTGGCCAAAGAAGAGGAGTCTACAAAACCTGAGGGCTCAGAGAATACTGTGGTTACAAAAGTTGTCAACCCTCGAATCATAGCCAGCTGTTTGCAGTCTATTTGTGCTGTAGAAAATGTGGATGCTAAGGATGCTGAGAAAATAGCCATGACCACATTAATACCAGCCCATCACCCATACATTGGTAAACTCTCTACCAAATACTTGTTTTTAAATCCACATTTATCTCAAGGATGAAATATGCATTGGTCTTTTATTATACTCTTTTTTACAACCGTTCATTTGAACTATGGTGACTGCTGCTGAACATAAGTTAACAACATTAAAAAAGTATGTACTAAGAGTAATCTATTTATGATGTGATTGTTAATTAGATTGTAAATTTATTATTTGTATTTTCAGTTTATGTGAAAAAAGATTTGTGGGTGACCATTCTACTGGGACTTCACCTTGCACCAAATGAATTTGTAAAAACTCACGCTGAGGAATGTCTATCCTTAGTCAAAACTGGAGACAAGTTATCTGAGGTCAGAGTTAGGGATAGTCTTTAGATTATCTTTGTATTTTAATTGTCTGCTTGTTAGGGTTAGGGATAGTCTTTAGATTATCTTTGTTTGTTTGTATTTTAATTGTCTGCTTGTAACTGATATGCTATGGTAGAATTATGGTTAGGGATAGTCTTTAGATTATCTCTGTTTGTTTGTATTTTAATTGTTTGCCTGTAAATGACATGCTATGGTAGAATTATGGTTAGGGATAGTCTTTAGATTATCTTTGTTTGTATTTTAATTGTCTGCTTGTAATTTATATGCTATGGTAGAATTATGGTTAGGGATAGTCTTTAGATTATCTCTGTTAGTGTTCTAAATTGTTTGCATGTTGTAAATTATCTGTGAGTTTATGTGTCTTTAGGTTATATTGGTAAATAATTGAAACTGCTATCAAATAATTTGTTCCTACAAGTTTGTATAAGGTCATAATATAATTGTTTTAAACACATGAACAGGCAGAAGCATCAGCTGTGTCTACACTGGCTCTGATTAACCCTGGTTGCATAGTGCCAGAGCTGGTCTCATATGTTAACTCTTTACTGGCCAATCCAGCACTCACACTCATCACTAATGATGACTATGGTATTTTCCTGACTCCAGATGGTGAACTTTATGACAAGGCAATCCTTGATAGGTATTTTGTTTACACTTGTTAAATAACTTAATCTAAATTTATTTGCTTGAAAGTTATTGTATGAAGGAATACATTTTTTTTTCTTTTATTAGTTAAGTAACTGATACCTACTTTGTAATTTAAAGAAAAATAGAAAATGTAACAATTTTTAAACAGTAAAAAACCATGCAGGGGTGGTGTGTTAAGGTGGTAGAACACTTTACTGCTAACCCAAAAGTTAGGATTTCTGGCTGTAGGGTGTACCTGACTCAACGGAAAATAAAAGGCAATGGACATAGTGCTGAACACGTCATCTCTTTATTAGTGTTGTCAAAGAAATATATTAACCCTACGTCATAAGCACTATAGATTATCAGGTCTGAAAGAGGAGCTTCATTTTTAAAATACCTTGAACAAATATATAAATTGTACTGAATGTTTTGTATCAATGGTGGTTGGGCAGAAGGTGAAATATAAATCTACATTGACAACATTTTTAGAGAAAATTTTATTAGGCTAATTTCTGAAGTGGTATATTGTATGTTCGATAATAGGGTGATTTCTGAAAAGGTGTATTTTGTAATGATTTCAGTGCAATGAAAAGTGCAGCTGGAGACCAAAACATCAGACGAGAAAACAAACTCTACTCATATGCTGATCAGATGGCTGAGCTGGAATTGAGAAAGGTTACATTTTTTTTTTACATTTTTTAAAATCTATATTGTGGTATTGATAAATCAGATTTCAGTTTATTTTCAGAATGTTCATTCTTTCAATTTTTATCAACAGGAAATTGAGAAAAAGAAAGGTCTAAAACCCCAGGAGGCTCCAAAGCTATCCAAGAAACAAGAAGAACAATTGGCCAATCAGAAGCAGAAGGAAGCTGAGATCAGAGAGAAGCTTAGAGTGGTGAGTTCAGCTTTTTTTCCACAATATTTTCCTGGCTGCATTTGTTGGTAAAATAATTTCATCCCATCCTCAATGTATTAACTTCCTGTTTTTATCCTGCCCCAGCTGAACAAGGCAGTCCTGTGCTCATGTACAATTGTTGAATCCCTCCTGCTGGTCATGAATGAAGAGATATCCACCCATGTGAAGAATGTGTATGACAGTGTTGTCCAACTGCTCAAATCACCACTGGCAGCGCCACCATGCTGCAACTTGTTTGTCAACATGGGCAGAGCTGCCTTTGAGGACAAGAGTCTTGGTGAGTTACTCTTTTCTTCACTTGAGTGTATTTTATCTAATATTACTGCTTTACAATTATTCTACTTTTTGTTGTTGGACAAGCTATTTAATAGCAAAGCTCAGTGTGTACTTAATGTGCATTGCTGTAATAATGAGTGGATGTTACTGTTTTCTGTGCTGCAGGGGACCTGATAGGCCATGCCACCCTGCGCCTGCTGCAGCCTGCGTACACCTTGGACAGGGCCTGGCTGGAGGAGAAGCAGCTGACACAAACAGCCAGGGCTATTGAGAGGCTGTACAAGCTGGTTGTCATAGAACCAGAGGATGAAGACGAGGTAACATCAGCTCAGCCTAAATCTGGTTTTATTTGGTTAGGGGGTTGAAAATAATTAAAACACAAATATCTTGATATTGTTTATGCTAAGGTTTAAATACAAATTTTATTTGATCAGGAACTAGAAATCAAGCCTTTTGCCGCCCCAACGTTTTGCTACATATATTACCTGTTGCGCTCTGTCTTTGAAAATGGGGGAGTTGTTGTAAAAAGAGATGTCAACATCTGCAGACAAGCCTTGACCCTCATCCGTGACCATGCCAAGATGAGGCGGTCAGCAAAGGATGTTTTAGCTATTGATGTGGTAGGTCAACCTATCTTAAAATATTTGAATTGCTCGTCTGTACAGCTAATTAGGCTAAAATTGTGAAGTCTGCCACCTTTTCTGTATACTGATTCCTCTTCTCTCCAGTATGACCCTGATCTCCTGCCCAGACAACAGCTGTTTGAAATCTGCTTGACCGTCATGGGGACTTTCTCTCAAGAGTTTCAGCAGCTGACGAATGACACCCTGTTGGAATTGGCTCGGGCTGTCAATGGAGATGATGGGGCTACAGAAGCGACCCCAGGGGAGGTTGAAGTCTTGCTGAAGGCGCTGCAGGCCCCCAGCATTGTGGTCAGAGACGTGGCCCTGCAGGTGAGAATTTAAAAATGTTCTGGCTCCCACTCTCTGTTGGGACCAAATATTTACATATAGTGGTTAACTTGAATTTTTAAAACTTAAATAGTCTTAACTAAACATTAGTTTTTTAGTGAATGGAAATGTACAATATAAGAAATGTATTTTGTAGTGTCTGTCTGAATTGGCTGATATCTTACCTACCATGGATGAAAACTATGAGTTGGGAGTTTCCATAGCTAAACACATCTGGATAGCTTGCAATGACACTGAAACACCAATTCAACAGCTGGCTACAAAGTAAGTGCAGTTCAGTTTTTTACTTTTAGACTAGATTTTGTGGCCACATTTAAAAAATAATCAGGCATACCCTTCTATTCCTTTGAAGTTCTGCATCTCTTTGGTTTAAATATGTTGTAGATGCTTGTTTAGATGGTAATGTATTGTTTTCACCGTGCTGCAGCTTGAGGAAGCAGCTATGTTTAGAGGAGCCGAGTGAGGAACTCTGTGGCGCTGTAGTCCTGGACACCACCCATGATGAAGAGGTTGTACGTGTGGGGGCTTCACTGGCCCTGGCTCAGGTTCTTGCCAAACATCGGCGTCACATCCCCACCATACTCAAGACTTTACTCAACCAGTATGAGGCCAAGCTCTATGTAAGTTCCTTTTTACATTTGGCCTTTCATCAACTTCTAATTTACACAGTCTTTTAATTGATTTACTGTGAGGGGGGGGGGGGGGGGGGGTTCTTAACATTGTGGCTGTAGTAAATACTTCTTGTCCAATATTAGTCTATATATTATTATGCAATAACAAATAGAACATTGTTTTATTAAATATAAAAAAAAAAAAATTTCTAGGCCATTCTACTTGTTTAAAAAAAATTGCAACTCTATGTGTAACCATTCTGACATTTTGTGGCAGCTACCCCCACCTAAAGTTGATGAGTTTGGTAGACAAGTTGAGGAGCAGCCCCCTGACATGTGGCAGTCCCGCTCTGGCATTGCCCTGGCCATCAAGCAGATCTCACCGCTTCTCACGGAGGACCAGATACCTGAGCTTTTCTCATTTTTTGTGCCCAAAGCTTTAAGTGACAGGTCACCGGAGGTCAGGTCGGGGATGAGAGATGCTGCTCTCTCTGCTATACAGTCTCATGGGAAGGTAACATTACATTTCTAATCTTATATCCAAGTCTTACTACATTTATCATACTGTCTCATGGAGAGGTACCAATATTTCAAAAACATTACATTTCTAATCATTTATCCAAGCGTAACTACATTTATCACACTGTCACATGGAAATATACTATTTTGAGCATCATTTGTAATTATGTTGCAAAGTTGTACTACATAAGCAATAAGATTTCAAAGCATAACATTTCCAATCATCTTCACATTTTACATATTCACATTTCAAACTTTGACCTTTAAATCATCATGTAATTCTTTCTTGCACTAACAATTTCTGATCTGGCCACTGTAAATAAATCTATCACATAGTTTCATCATTAGATGGCCAGCTTACTCATATATCCTTTGTCAGAAATACAATTAAAAAAACTTTTTCTCAGGAAAATGTGAACATCCTTCTCCCTGTGTTTGAAAACTTTATGGAGAATGCCCCTGGTACTGCCGACTACGATCCTGTCCGTCAGAGTATTGTTATTTTAATGGGAAACCTGGCTAGACATTTAGATGCTGACAACCCCAAGGTCAAACCGATAGTAGCTCAGTTGATAGCAGCCTTGTCTACACCATCACAAGAGGTGGGTACGGTTCATTGTAGTATGACTCATCTTATTGTACCCAGTTCATTCTAGTATAACTCAGCAGATTGTACCCAGTTCATTCTAGTATAACTTATCTGATTGTACACAGTTCACTCTAGTATAACTTATCTGATTGTACACATTTCTTTACTAAAGGTACCTTTTTATATATATCATAAGCTATTGAAATTTCAAATCTGGCTCAGGGAATAATTTTTAAGCAGGGCAATATCTCATCTAATTCTTTGTTTTTAATTATACACTAAAGCAACCTTCCGTCTTGAAAAACTTCTTAACCTTCATGTCAGATTTGGATTAGTTGTTACGTGGTAGTATCTTTGATAAAACCAATTTGAGTTTAAAAAAAACGACCAAGTTAACTCCATTTGTATATTATGTTGTAGGTCCAAGAGGCTGTTGCCAATTGTTTGCCTCCCCTGGTCTTGAAAAACTTCTTAACCTTCATGTCAGATTTGGATTAGTTGTTACGTGGTAGTATCTTTGATAAAACCAATTTGAGTAAAAAAAAACCGACCAAGTTAACTCCATTTATATATTATGTTGTAGGTCCAAGAGGCTGTTGCCAATTGTTTGCCTCCCCTGGTCCCCTCTATCAAGTCTGATGCACCTGGTCTGGTGTCCAAACTTTTGCAACATCTGCTGGACTCCAACAACTACGGAGAGAGGAAAGGTGCTGCGTATGGGCTGGCTGGCCTCATCAAAGGCATGGGTATACTGGCACTGAAGCAACAGAATGTCATGGACACATTGACTGAAGCTATACAGGACAAGAAGAACCCAAGGAAAAGGGAAGGTAGGTGCCTAAGATATTTTCTGAGTTTGTAGTTAGTCTTTCATTCAATCTCTTTTTTTTTAATGTGGGATGAAGTAAATTTAAATATTTTATATATTTTAAGGATGGAGAGGTTGAACATCTCATATTTAGAGGAATGTTTCCTTGTTTTAAAATATCCTTACTATATTTTAAACTTGTATTGACAGGTGCTTTGCTAGCATTTGAGATGTTGTGTAGTATGCTAGGAAGGTTGTTTGAACCCTACATTGTCCACATCATTCAGCATTTGTTATTGTGTTTTGGGGACAGCAATCAGTATGTCAGAGAGGTATTTCTCTTCAACTTCTTACATAGACCTTAGATAAAATGCCAGTTTTTGTTGCAATGATAGTATCAATTAATGTGTATTTTATAAATAACTGATCAAAATGTACTCAACTCTCAAAATCTGGAATCTTAAGCTCTATTACGCACTAGAGTTTACAAATGTTTTGATTGTTGTTGTTTAGTGTGTGCTACATTGTTTGCTCTACTTGCAGGCCGCTGATGATTGTGCCAAGTCTGTGATGAGGAATTTAAGTGCCCATGGTGTCAAACTAGTGCTGCCATCACTGCTTAAAGGTCTGGAGGAGGATGCATGGAGAACTAAAGCAGGTAGAGCTACCTTGGTTATAAGTTTTAACTGTAGCTATAAGGATTTAGGTAATGAAAAGCTTCAAGCGTAGCTTTAGAAATACTGACATTTCTGACACAATATTTTTTTAGATTGAACAGGTGACCTTGTTATTTTTCAGTAGCTTTGTAAAAACCTTCCTATAAAATAGTGTATCTTATGTTTTGTCTGAAGGCTCTGTGGAACTGCTGGGTGCTATGGCATTCTGTGCCCCTAAACAGCTCTCAGCATGTCTCCCCAGCATTGTCCCCAAGCTGACAGAGGTTCTCACAGACTCACACTTGAAGGTCCAGAAAGCTGGGTCTCAAGCTTTGATGCAGATTGGATCTGTCATCAGAAATCCTGAAATTCAAGGTAAACTTTGTTGTTGTTAAAATAGCCCTTTGTAGAGAATTTATTTACATTGAAAACCCACATTGAAAAATAAATTTGATGTTATTGAATTAAAATTTGAAGAGTACTTTTTTGAGCAACTTTGTGGTCATGTTCATAAGTCTTAGGCAGCACTTTTATAATGCTGTATTATTGGATGATGTTCTGAATAACTTGAATTGTCATGAAGTATCTAAGCCCCTTTTTTTGGTAGCTATTGTTCCCAATTTGTTGGAAGCCCTACAAGAACCAACTAGAAAAACTACAACTTGCCTAGAGAAGCTGCTGCAGACCAAGTTCGTCCACTTTGTGGATGCCCCGTCCCTGGCTCTGATAATGCCAGTTATCCAGCGAGCCTTCCAGGACAGAACCACCGACACTCGCAAGATGGCTGCCCAGATCATGGGAAACATGTACTCTTTGACAGACCAAAAGGTAGATTGTCACACACTTGTAGGATTTTTTTTTTAAAGTGAAGTTCTGCTTTGGTCCTAGTGCGCCATGGTAGAGTTGATCTGTTTCTTTGACCTGTGATTGTAGTCACTATGCCTGTCATCATTAGTTTAAATTTTTTGATACAACTAATGTTGTTCCCTATGTCATCTAAAACCCCAGGACCTGTCACCATACCTGCCATCTGTCATACCTGGACTGAAGCAGTGCTTGCTGGACCCTGTGCCTGAGGTGAGGACTGTGTCTGCCCGTGCCCTGGGTGCTATGGTGAGGGGCATGGGAGAGGACACCTTCCAGGACCTGCTGCCGTGGCTGATGGAGAAACTGGTCTCTGAACAAAGCTCTGTGGACAGGTCTGGTGCTGCTCAAGGTTTGTACCACCTTCATGTTGTCTCCCTTGTAATTCATTCTTATACATTTTACCTTCATGTTATCTCCCTCGTAATTCATTCTTATACATTTTACCTTCATATTGTCTCACTTTTAATTCATTATTACACATTTCACCTTCATATTGTCTCCATTCTAATTCATTCTTATACAATTTACTTCTGAAAAGTTATACTTGTATTCGTTTATTTAAATTAGCTGTAAGATACATTATCTTTAATTATGTAAGTTACCGTTAAAAACTTTTCATAGTGCTTTTTATTTAAATATGGCTGATACACTTTAAGTCTAGATTAATGTTCTAAGATTCCAGCATATTTCTCTAGTTTACACCCAATCACCTTTACCCCCATCATAAATAAGCTGTTATCACCCCCAGGTTTGAGTGAGGTCATTGGTGGAATGGGAGAGGACAAGCTGAAGAAACTGATGGGAGACATCATCCAAACTGCTGAAAGGTCCGACCTAATGCCTCATGTCAGGGATGGCTACATCATGACCTACATCTACCTACCATCTGTGTTTGGTTCAACATTTGTCCAGTACGTTGGCCCAATCCTGCCATCTATTTTACAGGTGAGAACTGGCTTGCTTGTTGACTTGTTGACTTCAGGTAGATGATGACCTACCATGGAGTTTAAAGCTGTCACGGTCTGACAATAGCTTACATGTGTCAATTATTGAGTATGATGTAATGATGATGTGTAACCTCCCTGTAACCAGGCACTGTCAGATGAGAATGAGTTTGTACGTGACACAGCCCTGCGGGCAGGCAAACGTATCATCAACCAGTACGCTGAGACAGCCGTGGAGCTGTTGCTGCCAGAACTAGAGAGAGGTCTGTTTGATGACAATTGGAGGATCAGGAACAGCTCAGTCCAGCTTCTGGGTGACCTTCTGTACAAGGTGTCTGGTGAGTGGGGCCTGGCTTAACACTGGTCTGTTTCTAGACACAACAGTCTTAAATCTTTGCCATTATAAATTCCTGAATTTTCTTTACCCACAACTTGATTCATTACCTACAGCTAAAACAACTGTACTATTTCCTGTTTAATTAAAAATGTACACATTGTGTATAAAGTTGTAACTTAATGCTCTTCTATAACAGTAATTTTAAGAAGTAATTTATATATTGAAGAAAGAAAATTGCTTTGTTTTAAACAAGAATAAAAATAATGAGTAGTGTTTCACAGGGAAAGAAAATGCAGTTCTGCCAGCGCTTTTACAAAACAAATTCTAAAAAATACAAAATAAACTCTTTAAAAAAAAAATAACTGCAAGAAGTAAGCACAACTGAAAATTGCTGTTTAAAGATATCATGACCTAACTATACGATTAAAATCTTTGATTCAGCTATTCTATAGAGTAGATAAAAAGTATTTCACCAAACTTTAGTAACATGACCCCCACTTCTTTCATTTTTAAGCCAGGTAAGTGATGTATCTACTTATATCTATATTTGGTACTGAATAATAATAACATATCTACTCAATTTTTTATTCTAGGTGTATCAGGTAAAATGACCACAGAAACAGCAGATGAAGATGATAACTTTGGCACAGAGACATCACATCAGGCAAGTTGAGTTGTTTGTTGTAGAACTCTCATTTTAACACTGTTCTGATGTGGCAGCCATTGTGAAACATAAATGTTCTCCATCATATCCAGGCTATCATGAGAGTACTCTAATTTAACACTGTTCTGATGTGGCAGTCATTGTGAAACATAAATATTCTCCATCATATCCAGGCTATCATGAGAGCTCTGGGTAACGAGCGCCGTAACCGCGTGCTGTCTGGCTTGTACATGGGACGTTCTGACACGGCGCTGATGGTCCGTCAAAACGCACTGCACGTCTGGAAGATCATTGTGGCTAACACACCTCGCACCCTGAGGGAGATCCTCCCAACACTGTTCCAACTTTTACTTGGTTGTCTTGCTAGCACTAGTCATGACAAGAGAACCGTAAGTCTACTTGTTTACAATTTGGGGATCATTTTAGTTTTCTTATAACCTGATAAAAAATAATTGTTTGAGTTAGCTCTCAGGTGTTTGCATTTAATAACAAACAAGGCCATGTTCAGGTTGCAGCTCGTACTTTGGGAGATCTTGTGAGAAAACTTGGTGAAAGAGTTCTGCCAGAGATTATCCCCATCCTTGAGAGTGGCCTCGACTCAAAGGAAGCAGATCAGCGCCAGGGAGTTTGCATTGGGTTGTCAGAAATCATGGCTTCTACCAGCAAGGATCATGTGAGTCTTTAGTTTACAACACGCTTGTATGTATGTTTTGGTCATAGTCTTGAATTTACAAAAGTGAATTTTAGAGTTTAAAAGAATATCGCTATTTATGTGCTGGTTTATTTTTAAATCATGGAATTTCAATTTTTTTTAAGGGTGCGTGCACCCTATTTAACAGTATCAATATAGTGAACATCTATGACTAATTTGTCAACAAAGTCTACATCTGAACATTGTTTCCTATCTCATGTCATCATAACATTAGTCTACATCTGAACATTGTTTCCTATCTCATGTCATCATAACATTAGTCTACATCTGAACATTGTTTCCCACCAGGTGTCTGTCTTTGCTGACAGTCTGATCCCCACAGTTCGCAGAGCTCTCATTGACCCCCTGTCAGATGTGCGTGCTGCTGCTGCCCATACCTTTGATAATCTTCATCATAACATTGGCCAGAGGGCGCTGGATGAAATCCTACCCAACCTGCTGAGGAACCTGGTAATGCTTCTTTAGTCATCAGGACATGGCTTCACTGAGACTTGTTTTACTTGCTGACAGTATATCTGTTAAGAGATCTTGATTGTAGTAAAACCAATAAGGTAGTGACATTGATTGTAAAATCATAACAATGTAGTAATGTTGGTTGCAGAATGATCCAGAGATATCAGAGAGAGCTCTTGATGGACTGAAACAAGTGATGACAGTTAAAAGTCGTGTGGTGCTGCCATATCTTGTCCCTCAGGTAAGTTCCCAGGTTACTGATAAATTTGTTCAGTTTTATCAGTTGGGTTTGAAACACTTTGATTTAGTTAATTTGTTTAATGGTAGCAATCTCAGTAGTCACGTTGGAGGAAATCCATGCCTTGTGCTTCTGACACTTCTGTGTCCCATCTTCTACTGGCTATCCACCACCCAGTAGCTCTTGAGCTGTCTGTAACATTTAAAACTAGACTAGGTAGAGCTCATTAATTGCTACTGCACACGATCCATAGGAGCTGGAGTCAAATGTTATCTCAGGTTGATACTAACCTGACCCCTCTCTTGTCACTTTATCACTTATTCTAAAAATCTATTCATGAAATGAACAGTTTTGTTCATCTGTACTGTAATATCCATTATGTCAGAATAAAATAAATGAAATCATCCTGCACTTCTAGTTTTTTAGCACAGTTAGTTATATTTTATGGAGATTTTGTTAGTATATAATTCAGTTAGATGGTTAAAAACTTGTAAAATCTTTTAGAATAATAAAAAAAGTACATATATTGTTTTTAAAAATTAGTATATTGTTTCTGTAAGAAATAAGTGTATTGTTTGTATAATAGTGTAAGTAGCTTAGTGTGCAACTAAAAAATGTCATACTCCCCCAGCTGACAGCAGCCCCTGTCAACACACAAGCCCTGTCACTGCTCTCCTCTGTTGCTGGTGAGGCCCTCACTAAACATCTGGGCAAAATTCTACCTGCACTTATGTCCTCATTGAGTGAAAGAATTGGCACACCTGAAGAAGACCAGGTAAGAGATATATTCTAAAATTGAACTAAACAGCTCCCTCTAACCAAAGTGGCCAAGTTTTGATGAGTTAGCTTTGACCATTATTATTGACATGGATAAAAAGTATGGTTTTTTTTATTTTAGATTTTGCCATCAAATGGTGCTGTAAAAAGTTTTTATTTATTTTCTTCAAGCCTATGTTATATTATAGGTTAATTTTTGTAGACTGAAGAGGCGCCTAAAATCATCCCACATATACCTTGTTGATAGCCGACCATCAATAAAATTTTAACTAATTAATTCAAATTTCAATGAAAAAAGAAGTGTCAGCAGAATAGTCTGAATTGAGTTATGGTGTGACTGTACACCACCCTGCACATCGCACTTAGATTAGCTGGCCATGGACTCTTCCAAGTCAAGCTGGGCACATGATATCAGCCTCCACAGTGTGGATCAGCCTCCCTTATCTATTGCACCCAGCCCACCCTAGTGTTTTCTAGTGAGCCACCCCCAATTAATGAGGTCACCTGCATGGTGATTGATTAGCCTTCGTCTCAGACCTTCCCAGGGGTAAGGAGGTAACAAGTACCCGTATGTGACCCCTATATGCAAGCATTGCCATCACTTCTCACTGGTTATACCTACACATCTCATTTATATACCATCCAGATTGTCTTAGGCGATTTTCTTATACTTTTAGAAAAATGAATATTGTGTCACTTAAATTGTTTCTATTTTAAAATCCTTTAGAGAATTTTATCTTCTGCTTGTGAATCATTTCTTAAGTTATTTGTCCTCTTTTTAAATGTGCAATATTGGCACTAGCTCTATCTCTGGTTTGAATAGGTTAAGAAAACTGTCTCTGTGAACATCTTAATGAGTAGCCTCCCTTGAATTTATCAGCAGTTGAATTATATCCCTTATTTTTATATCAGCTTCAATATTTTATTAGAGTGAAAGTGTATTTCTGTTTACAGCTTTGTGAAGAACTAAAATGATTTAACTATACAAATTTTTTGGGTTTTGAAATGTTATTTTTTAAATAGTTTTTTTTAAATAAATTTTTATAATAAAATATATTTAAGAAATGTTTGTATAAATTACCTTCCAATGTCCTGTGTATTAATGGAATGTCTAATTGTATTGAAGGAACTTGACTACTGCAAGTCTGTGGTATTATCTGTTGAAGATGATTTGGGTGTGCGCACTGTGATGGAAGATCTTTTGTCAGTGGTGACCCACAACTCAGACGCACCAGTCTCAACTGCTGCTGTCCTCATCCTGAACATGTTCTGTGCCAACACCTCAGCTGATGTTACAGAGTACCTGCCCCAGCTGTTTAGAGGCTTGATTGGGATTTTTGCTAGATCAGATGAACGCTTGCTCCTGTCAGCTTGGAATTGTTTGGATGCCATCACAAAGGTAATGTGTTCAGATCTTTTGTGATCTGTCAGTTTGCTGACCATAGTCTGTTGACCATAGTTGTACATACGTACCTGTACCTGGCTCTAACTGTTCAATGTTTCTTGTAGAAAATTGATATGACAGAAACAGAAGAACACATTGTGAGTGTCAGACAAGCTCTCAAGTTTACCCTCTCTGACTTCAAGGAGAAAGAGTTGCCTGGCTTTAGCATTCCCAAAAAGGTTGGACGTTTTATTGTTTTGTGCTCAACTTTTAAAAAACTTCCTTGTAGAGTTTTTGAAAAAAGGGATAGTTCAATAAATATAAAGTTTGAGATTGTTTTTCCTGTTAGGGTATAGCCCCAGTGTTGCCAATATTCCGAGAAGGTCTCCTCAATGGTTCTGCTGAAGTAAAAGAAGCTGCAGCTCTTGGCCTGGGAGAAGTAATTGCCGTGACAGGGGCGGAGGCCCTCAAGCCATCAGTGGTCAACATCACAGGTCCCTTGATCAGAATATTAGGAGACAGATTTGCTTGGACGCTGAAAGTGGCAGTGCTGGACACACTCTCCATGTTACTGGTTAAGGTCTGTCAGTCTCACTATTTATGGTTGCAGTTTCTTTTTTTTTTTTTTTATATTGAGCTATTTTTTTGTTCTTGATTTTAAAACTATTTTACCATGATTTAAGGTTGGCCCAATTTTGAAACCATTTTTGCCCCAACTGCAAACAACATTTGTGAAAGCCATCAATGATCCCAACCGCACTGTCAGGCTGCGAGCTGCCTCTGCTCTAGGGAAACTGATACTCATTCACACCAGGGTTGACTCTCTCTTTAATGAACTCATCTCTGGGTTCAAGGCCACAGAGGACATCAGCATTAAGTGAGTTGTTTTTTTAGTCAATCCAAACTCTAGTTTGTGGTTTCTTGATGCAGATTAAAATGTAGTTAATTATTTTGTATTTTAAAACTTTTTTCTTCAGGGACACTTTTGTTCAGGCTATCAGAGCCTGTCTTCAAGGTGCAGGGTCAAAGATTGCTGACCTAGGCCGCAGGCAACTGACCCAAACACTTGTAGGACTTCTTGCTTCCACAGAAGACAGCACACGCATGACAGCTGCTGGCTGTCTTGGCACCCTGTGTGCATCACTGCCAGATGCTGAACTGTCAGATCTGATGATCCAACACCTTCTGGGTAGTGTACCAAATAATTATGTACAATCTTTGAAGTGGGTTATATAGCTAGGGGCATATATTGTACAATGTTTGAAGTGGGTAATATAGCTAGGGGCATATATTGTACAATGTTTAAAGCACACTTTTTTTTCTTAAACAATTTCCTGTAGAATAATGTAAAAAAATTTTACTGACAGATACTGATGCTAGTCTGGACTGGACACTGCGACATGGTCGTAGCATGGCCCTTAGCGTTGCCTTAAAAGATGCACCTGAAAGGATTTTGAGCTCAAGCCTGCGCAAAGGTGTTGAGTCCACCATAGGAAAGCTTGTAGCAGCTGATAGGGTAAATGTCTACCTCCATCTGTTATCAAAGTTGTAGTATTTCTCTAGGTGTTGAAAGCAAATGAAAGTAACCATTGTTTTTTTTTATCAGATCCCCATCAGCCTGAGTGGCCTTAGAGCTGTGGGCTACACACTCCAGTACCTGCTACACCACGACACCACTTCTCCCACCATTGCTGAGTTTGAGTCTTTTCTTATCAAGGTAAAAATGATTTTTTTAATGGTTGTAGAACTTTTCTAACATAAATAAAAAAATTTAAATAAAAATTAAATAATTATTTGTGTATTAATGTTCAAATGAATCTTGATACAAAGTTTTCACTGTTACAGAGCATGAAGGCTGAGTCCAATGACATAAAAATCCTAGTGGCCCATGTGGTGGCCTACCTGGCTGACCAACAGCCTGGGCGTTTCCCAGGTGACCTCCTGCTGGTGCCAGCCCTGGTCATGGGCACCAAGGAGAAGAACTCCATGGTCAAGTCCAGCTGTGAGAGTGCTCTTGTCCAGCTCCTGAAGCTGCGGAGAGGAGAACAGCTGTACCAGGTCAGTGGCGTCTCACACGCTTGAATTGTATTCATTGAAATAGTGATCACTTACAAAGTGTAGCCATGAGTGGTCATGATTTTCAGTAATTAATAAATTACTAAGCTAAACTATAATTAGGTCATTGTGACTTATAGGATTATTTCTAGATAAAATACAAAATATAATGTTATTAATGGTCTTTTTTTTTTATTACAATTTTAATCTTCACAAAATACAAGGCAGGTGTAAAAAAAAAAATTTTTTTAAAGTTCTTATTTTAAAAAGTAATGGGCAGAAGGGTACTAATAGTTAGAAAGTCCTGAAACAATTTAGTGTGTAGGTGTAGAATCTCAATAAAAGTATAAGCTCTTTGTAGCAGTGTTAAAGGGTCAACTCACATTCTTGCTGGAAGATTTTTTAAGACCATAATAAAGTAGCATTTTTGTAATAGAACATTTATCCTTTTTTTCTTTTCCATATTTTTATTTTTGGTCAAAATAATGGCAATATGGTGTATTAAATAAACTCTAGCATGTAGTTCAATAACTGCTTGTTTACCTCTTCAGGAAATTCTCTCCACCCTTGACCTGGGCATGCAGGACTCACTCAAGGAAGTTGTATCTCGTTCACTCAAGAAAATGGCGGGCCAGCCCGAATCCCCTGTTGATGAGATAGATGACACGCTGCTGAGATAACCTTGTAGACAGCTGCCATTTTTTGGTTGATGAGATTGATGACACGCTGCTGAGATAACCTTGTAGACAGCTGCCAATATTTGTCGGGCGGATGAAAACCATTTCCATAAATATTCCAGTGTAAAAAGTTGACTTATTCAGAGCTAAATATTTGCTACTGATTCAATGGGCAAGTCATACCAGTTTTTTTAAATTTACGGCAGATTCATTTCAGTTTGGTCTGTGATGGTCAGCTGTAATTTTCAAGTGAGTAAATCATTTTGGTTTGTAAATATGTTGTCAGGACAGAAGGACTGTACACATTAAGTTTATTCTAGGTGAGAGTGAAATGGTTTAAGTGTTTTGTTCTGTGGTGGCCAGATCATTTTTTTTAAACTAAAATATTTTTAAGCAAAGAAGTTTTAAATAATCTTTCAAATAATAGTGGATTCTACAAGTAAGGCATGTAGTGCTGCAAGTTATGAAAGTTACTTCTTGTACAAATTTGTACATTGATAATTTTTTATAAGGGTGAAGCATCTGTTTTTGTCCCTAGGTCTAGTTTTTTTTATTTTTGTTCCATGTTAAATGGCAAGTTCAAAATTTCTTCAATTAGCACAAATGTAAATCTTAAGTCTTTGAAGTGGAGGTTAGCTTTACAGCAAGTGTTAACTAATATTTGATAAGACATGCTGCACTGTTACAGGAATAATAATACTTACTCAAATAAACTTCATTATGTACATACTACATTGTTGGTTTCAGAATGTTTATTGTGAAAATAAAATAAAAATTATATAATTTGACTTCAGTTTTTGATTGAAATACTTTAAGTATAATAAATATTTTATTCACTGCTTTGTAGTTAAAATTTCAGCTTTTTTAAAAAAAATTTGAGGATTTCAAATGATGCACTGGAGTGGTATCATTTCATTAAATTTGTAAAAAAAAAATTGCTAACAAATAAATAAATTTTTAATGTTACTGGAGTCATAAAATAGCAAATAAGAAAAATCAACTGTAAAAAAATTGTTTAATCTAGTTTACATGTATAATAAATGAGCAAATATATTTTACATATTTATTACTTGGGTGAAAACATTTCAAATAAAATAACAATCCTCAGTAGTAGAAATAGTTTTCACATAGAACCTCATCATGTTTTCATTTTATCAATAAATCTATAACGATTTTAAGTAAAAAAAAATATCTTTAGTTTATGTTTTGATCAACAAAAAGAAACGTCATTGTTCAGTAATGCACCTGCAAAAGTGCATATTTATGGGTTGTGGGCAAATGTGAAATTTCCCATTTATAATAAGTTTGTTGCGTCAAACTGCTGCGTCCACTTGAAGACATTAGGGTTGTTGCATGTCCAACTGTTCCTTGTACTCCGTGTACAACCGTTGAAACTTGAGGTCAGCACCAATGTAAGGCAGGATATTGCGGAGAATGACATGTTTATCTAAACCCTGAAATGTCACACAAGATGAAGATATTGAGTGCCTGACACACTTTCAAATGTCAACTAATAAAACAGCCAAATGACTTATGAACACAACCTACCAAAACATTTTGAGACCAAGTACTGCTAGATCTAGATGACCGGTAGACTGGACCTAACAACTCATCACATATTTCTCTCAATTTTTCTTCCACTCCTGGGAGAGAAAGAAAACCACTGGTATTAAATATGAGAGACATTTGTTTGGGAAATATAAGGGAAACTTACAGCACGAGATGTATGTTACCCCTCAGGGGGGGATGGGCAGGTAGCATATGCCAAGCCAACTGCTGGATGTGGCCAGGGGTTAGTGTGTGAACCATGAAGCACAAGTTGACAAAGGTATGTTCTAATGTGTGCCTACAGTCCACTGCCACATGGCAACACTGGTAGTGCCAAAAATTGTACATCTACCTGGTTCTTACCTCTAGACCTAGCCCTATTGTGAATCCTTACACAAACAAAAACTTTCTGCAGTACTGTATTGCCATACCTATGTTTTTTGTGAATAATCCTAAATTTCCTCTGAAGACTGATTTTAAAACTCAGAAACAAATTAAAATGTTACCCTCTTGTGCTAATAAAATATCTGATGGTCTGATTCTAAATTAGGCAACAATTAAAATGTTGCCCTCTTGAGCTAATAAAATACCCGATGGTCTGATTCTTAATTAGGCAACAAATTAAAATGTTACCCTCTTGTGCTAAATATCTGATGTAGGTCTCCAGCCAAAACTTGTACTCATTAGCAGACAGCAGGGCCAGACTTGACGCCATCTGCGACTCCAGGTGACTCAAGGTCAGGGATTGCTGGATTCCAGGGTTAGACTGGAATGACCTTGAAGCAAGGTCACTCGTCCTGTGGGTATGACGTGACACCAAAAATTACTTTTTCCATTCCGACACCAAATAGACGAAAAAAATTATCTGGATAGACAACCAACCTTGACGACTTCTGTAAGGACGCCAGAGGCTCAGAGGGCTTGAGTTTTGTGGACATGCACTGGTGATGGTTGGCAAAGCTCTGCAGCCTGTCCTCACCATCACTGACTAGAACCCTGAAAACAGATAACTTTTGTCAGTTGATTCATTTTTTTCCAAGTATTTTGAGTAATCACATCTATTTGAATAACTGGAAACCTTAAACTTAAATTTGGAATGTTTTCTTAGCAAAATGTTATGCAGTTAAAGTTTATTCTACTCCAAGAGGTCACTCATTTATAGTTATGATTTCTACATATGGAAATAGGGGGGGGGGCTACACATTTGGACACCCTACACTAACTTTTAGCCAAGAAAAAAACAGCAACTCACCAACAACCAATATTGACAGAATAACTGTATGATTTTTTATTTGTTAAAGTAACTATTGGAACTCCTTCTGTTGTTAAAACAATTTTATCAACTGAGTCCTTTTCTGAAACACAATTTAGAACAGATTACAAATACACTGATTCACAAAACAAAATACCAAAGCTATAAAATCAATTTTTCCATAAACTCTCAAGCTAATGAGTCACTCTTTGTATTTAGTAACATGAGACAAAAGTGTTTGTTTAAAATATCGTGCTTAATACACCAGATACAAATTTGTTTGTTTAATATATGAGACACAAACAAGTTTGTTTAAAAGATAAGAGACAAAAGTGTTTAATACACCAGATACAAACATGTTTAATACACTAGATAAAAACATGTTTGTTTACCTGATGCTACAGCTGAGAGAGATTCTTGTTTAATTTCTACCTTTAATAATGAACAATTCCTGCAAGACAAAAACAAAACAGTATAAAAACAAAACTCTGGAATGTTCATCTTTAACATGAACAAGTAACATCCACTGATATGTATTTTTTAAGTCAGATTTTCAATTCAAACGTTTTTTTCCGCTCAGATTATTATTCTGCCACTTTAATCTCTAAAAGATCAGTTATTTAAAAAAAAGGTTCTTGCCAAATGAGACATTGTACCAATCCAAACTCACCAAACAAATAACGTGCCCTTTGTTGTCACAACCAACAGATAATGACCTTGACAGATGAGAAAGGCAGGCTGGGCTCCCACAACAAGAAATGGGAAGATCCTCCGCCCACACTTACTGAACACAGAGACAGTTCCATCTACACAGGCAGCACACAGCACATGTCTGGTGGGAAAGTGACAAATCAGAACATCAAAACATAGTGCCAGGTAATAATAACATTATGGGGCCATAGAAAAACTTGGCCAGGTAATAATATCATGGGGCCATTGAGAAAAACTTGGCCTAATTGGAAAAAACCCTTTATTTCACATCATGCAATGGCTTTCATTGTTCAGGCCTTCATTGTTCAGCAGCCAATATAAAGCCTTCCCTCAACACATGTGGTTGGCTACTTAACTCAAATATTTACACTGAGATTTTAAAAAAACTCAAATATTTACACTGAGATTTTTAAAAACTCAAATATTTACATTGAGATTTTAAAAAACTCAAATATTTACACTGAGATTTTTAAAAACTCAAATATTTACACTGAGATTTAATAAAACTCAAATATTTACTCTGAGATTTTAAAAAACTCAAATATTTACATTGAGATTTTAAAAAACTCAAATATTTACTCTGAGATTTTTAAAAATTCAAATATTTACATTGAGATTTTAAAAAACTCAAATATTTACTCTGAGATTTAAAAATAAAAACTCAAATATTTACACTGAGATTTTAAAAATTCAAATATTTACACTGAGCCAGCTGTTGCACAGATCTTTGAAGTGAACATCTGGTCCCACAAAATTTTTCCACCTTTTATACATCTCAGTCTGTGAACCTTGCCTGTTCCAAGTTCTAGGCCATTTTCCACCTCCAGCACTAGAGCTTCAGCATCTCCCAAAAGGCCTTGAATCTATGGGGAATAAAACATTTGAACCAATGGCACAAAAGGCCTTGAATCTATGGGGAATAAAACATTTGAAACAATAGGACGTAAGGCCTTGAATCTATGGGGAATAAAATATTTGAAACAATGGGACGTAAGGCCTTGAATCTATGGGGAATAAAACATTTGAAACAATGGGACGTAAGGCCTTGAATCTATGGGGAATAAAACATTTGAAACAATGGGATGTAAGGCCTTGAATCTATGGGGAATAAAATATTTGAAACAATGGGACGTAAGGCCTTGAATCTATGGGGAATAAAATATTTGAAACAATGGCAAGTCACCTGTTCGACGGATGTAACTGGGCTAGTCATAGACAACAACATAACTAAACCAGAAATACAGCTAAGCCATTCATCCACAACACATAACAAGCATAAAACTCAAGACGTACCACTTGGGAGACAGCTTTATCAATGCTCATGGCTGGGAGATGTAAATCTGGGGTTGGTGCTTGCACTCTCTGCTGCTGAAAGTGTGACATCATTTTATACACCATTAAACAAGGCACAAATATTCAGACCCTAATAAAACATTTATCACATTGAGGTTAAACATCTACATCTAAGTTTAACTTAGTCATTAGAATCATGTGTCCATGATGACATCTATCTAGAGCAGGGGTCTCCAAACTTTTAAGTCCGAGGGCCGCATTAACTATGAAATTTCAGTTAGGGGGCCAGTTTTTTCCAGGCATGTCTTTGATTTTTCTGGGAAAAGTTCCTCAGCAATCACCGACAAACAATTTTTCCTTGGACAAAAAGATCTCCGCGGGCCGGATGAAGGGACTTCGCGGGCCGCATCCGGCCCGCGGGCCGTAGTTTGGAGACCCCTGATCTAGAGCAATGTGGCACCCAAGATGACATGTAGTTAGTGCAATGTGGCATCCATGATGACATGTAGTTAGTGCAATGTGGCACCATGGTGACATCTAGCTAGTGTTATGTGGCACCATGATGACATCTAGCCAGTGTAATGTATATTGCACCTCTGGCACCATGATGACATCTAGCTAGGTTAATATGACACCATGACATCTAGCTAGTGTAATGTGGCACCATGATGACATCTAGCTAGTGTAATGTGGCACCATGATGACATCTAGCTAGTGTAATGTGGCACCATGATGATATCTAGCTAGTCCAAAGTATCACCATGATGACATCTAGCATCTAGCTAGTGCAATGTGGCACCATGATGACATCTAGCTAGTGTAATGTGGCACCATGATGACATGTGTAATGTGGCACCATGATGACATCTAGCTAGTGTAATGTGGCACCATGATGACATCTAGCTAGTGTAATGTGGCACCATGATGACATCTAGCTAGTACAATGTGGCACCATGATGACATCTAGCTAGTGTAATGTGGCACCATGATGACATCTAGCTAGTGTAATGTGGCACCATGATGACATCTAGCTAGTACAATGTGGCACCATGATGTCATCTAGCCAGTGTAATGTGTAGTGTACCTGTGGCCCAGCTACAGCTGGTGCAGCAGGAGCCTCCAGCCTGTTGACTGTGGATATTGAACTGACAGCTTCAGCTGCTGCTGCAGACATTGCTGCTTCTCTCATCGCCTGGTCCATCTTGCTCGGCCGACCTCGCTTTCTAGAAAAAAAATACTTTAATTAATACAAAGTAGGTATTATTTTCTATCAAGTTTAACTGTATAATATCTTTTGGTAAAAGTATAGGAGAAAACTAAGGTACTATGAAGTTATATTCCACTGATAAATATAAAGTTTTATTGATCTTTTTTTTTTAAAAATATATTTACACGCTCATGGTTGCTAACCTGTAACTCACAAGCTCAAACACCCAGGCAGTTAAGGCTCGTTAGCGGGGGACAACAACTTATCTAATAGCTCCTTAGGTGGTCGGATTACCAGCTCTGGTTTCTTTTTGGCACCTTCCATAACCAAAGCATATTGCTTAGCATTAGCCCTAGCCTACCAAAACTGACCAAACCGTACCTCTTATCCTCTTCACGTTTCCGTTTGAGACTTAAGCTCCCTGAGAGGCGTGACTTGAGCTTATCTTTCACCAGAGACGAATCCTTCTCAGCTTCCTTCTCCTGGGCTTTAGGCTTGTCTGACACTGTCTGCTGGGAGGTTTTGTCTGGTTTCTCTTGCTGTGGGGTTTTATCAACAGATCTAGACGGGGGAGGTAAAAATATTTTTTGTGAGACAACTTGTTTACGATTGTCTGTAATTTATTGGTACATCACCATGCAACGTAAAAATATTTAATCCGGCGGGGTAATTTGTTAAATATCAGCTAATTGCTCATTATTTTATCAACAGGAGACACTGTAAGGCTTTTAGCATGGTCAAAAGTTATAAAATCATAAGGCCGTAAGTGAAAGGAAAAAGGTATTGAAAATACCAAGACTTTTTTAAAATAAAAATATATGTTTTAAAAATGCAGTTTTAAAAGCAGCATTTTTGTTATGAACTGCACTTCATAAAAGTTATCCTCAGAATTAAAAAATTATTTGTCAATTAGTGTTTTTCACTCAAACAGAAGGGAAACCATCTCCATTGTGTTGATAGAATAATAAACTAGCTAAGAGATTACATCTTTATTTTGCTATAAATGTAATATCATTTTTTTTAATATATTGCTCAATACAATTCCATTGAAAAATAAAAACGTACACAGCTGATAGTTTTTCTAGTGGTGTATCAAAATTGATCTTGTTTGCAGGCCCTTCACTGCTCGTCTCCCCTTGTGCTTTCTTTATAAAGAAAAAATACTTTTATTGCAAAATTGAACAAACAAAAAAACCAAAGTAAAAATGTCTCTTGTAATAGTTTACACCTGCTACTGCACTAGACAATATTTTGTAGTTCAGTGTCAGCATACAAACCCTATCCAGTAGGTTGTGATGGGATATTAACTATGCTACTTAATAGACTATTTTTTTTACTTTGTACATCTATGCTTAAAAATAACAGGAAATTTTTAGATTGAGCTATGCTGATAGTTGGCAAAGTTAGCATGGAGATGATTTTGTATAAAATCCTAGAAAAATGTCACCAAATGCAGAGACTATGATCTACTTCTTTAACAGCTCCATATTAATTGAGTCTTTTTTTAAACACTTATTCTATCCCTATTTTTCTTCTGAATAAGACAGAAGAGGTTGTCCATTAATTGACATCTGTTTAGCAGCCCTAACCCAAAATTCTCATTGTGACAAAAAGTCATTTTAAATTATCACCACAAAGTTCCAACCGTATTCCTACCCCTCCACCCTTAATCATCATAACAAGATAATTAACATGTCTTTCATTTTTTTTTTATGAAATATAAAATGAATGCTACATTACACCCTTAAGTTTAACATGACCCCCCCCCCCCCCCCAATCCCCAAGGAATACATTCTCATTGCTGTAGAAACCCCAGATATAAATGAGAGCCATGTGAAACAACAACTGACCTGGGCATCTTTGGCTGCTGTGGAGCCAGAGGGTGGGGTCTGCAGGTGAGGGGGGGATGACGGCACAGAGCCAGAGGATGGAGACATCATCCCAGGGGCCGTCACTCTGTTCTGTTTCTCTACAACAATCTTGCTCAATTCAGAGGACGAATGGAACTCAATGTTTGAGTTGGATGAGAAGGGCAGCGGAACCTCCCTGATTGAAAACAAGTTGTCCATGTATAGCAACTAAAGTTGTCCATGTATAGCAACTAAAGTTGTCCATGTATAGCAACTGAAGTTGTCCATGTATAGCAACTAAAGTTCATGTATAGCAACTAAAGCTGTCCATGTTAGGCAACTAAAGTTGTCCATGTATAGCAACTCAAGTTGTCCATGTATAGCAGCTAAAGTTGTCCATGTATAGCAACTAAAGTTGTCCATGTATAGCAAATAGTGACCACTGGTTAATGTGATAGAATAGCTGTTGTCCAGTGAGTCCTGTGTTACACGACTGACCATATAACAGCACCATGGTAAAAAGCTACCTAGCACATACAAGCACTAGCATATGTACCACATAAACACCACTAGCATATGTACCACATCAACACCACTAGCATACTTGGCACACACCATTAGCATACCTGACACACAAAACTAGCATAACATACACACCACTAGTATACCAGGCACATACACACCAGTGGCCTACCTGGCAAATACACACCAGTGGCCTACCTGGCAAATACACACCAGTGGCCTACCTGGCAAATACACACCAGGAGCATATCTGGCACACTACTCTAGGAAAACTTACCCCACTTCAGGCTGAGGTGCCAAAAATATGGGTGTGATTCTGCGCCTCCCATCTGCAGTTCTGGTCTCAATCTGCTTGTCCGTGGGCTGCAGGAGTAAAATTCTGTCACTAGACTGACATAACAAATCAGTAGGAAATCAAATAAATCAGTAGGAAATCAAACTTTTAAACACATCTGTCCTGAGACTGACAAAACAAATCGTTAGAAAATCACATAACAAATCAGTAGGAAATCAAATAAATCAGTAGGAAATCAAACTTTTAAACACATCTGTCCTGAGACTGACAAAACAAATCGTTAGAAAATCACATAACAAATCAGTAGGAAATCAAATGAATCAGTAGGAAATCAAACTTTTAAACACATCTGTCCTGAGACTGACAAAACAAATCGTTAGAAAATCACATAACAAATCAGTAGGAAATCAAATAAATCAGTAGGAAATCAAACTTTTAAACACATCTGTCCTGAGACTGACAAAACAAATCGTTAGAAAATCACATAACAAATCAGTAGGAAATCAAATAAATCAGTAGGAAATCAAACTTTTAAACACATCTGTCCTGAGACTGACATAAAAAAATCGTTAGGAAACCACATAACAAATCAGTAGGAAAAATTTTAAACATTTTTATCAGTACCCATGTTTGGAAAAGGGATTCATTATGATATTCATCTGCTAGTCTTGCTATGAAACTCTTAACACAATGGAGTGTTACACAGCAAAAAATATTGCTTAAGAAATCACAAATATTTAAAAAGTTATACCACTAAATAATGACATCATCAATTTTATCCACAGCTATATACAATGTTCAGAAATGTCATCCACAAATTTAATTTGTTTTCCAACACAAGGCTTAAAAAATTAACTTGTTAACAACACATAAGCAAGTTTAACAATAAAAATTTTAATTAAATTAAATAAATAATTCTAAAACTAGTAAATGAAAATCAAACACTTATTACGATTGCCAAGACCAAGTAGATAAACAAGTTAAAAATACCTTAAATGGTGTTTTATCCCCACTTGCAGACATCTGACTGGACAGGTTGCTGTGTTTGGTGGGTGTGAGCATGACATCATTTGACCTGTTCTTCTGCTGGTGTAGATTCAACATGGCTGCCGACTCAATGATCTGGCTGCCCTTGGTGGCAGAAGCATGGAGGGATATGCCTTTGCCATAAATATTTTCCAGTAAATTGGTCTGGAAAATAAAACACACAGTTGTTTACACCTGCTTTTGGTCATAAATGTTTTTAATAAAATGCACACAGACTCTGTATGAAGTGTATAAACCTGTGTTCCTAAGATGATGTTTACAATTTCTATAAACTACGCTGTAAACCTCCAAATATAAGATAAATTAATTTTGGCCAATATGAAAATAGAAAATATTTAAATGTGAACTTTTCTTAAAAACTAGTTTCCAAAAGTAGATATTTAAATATTGACACATAGTGACATGCTTTAACCAACTCACAACTTCGTCTTTTGAGAGAGGATTGCCAATCTCATCCTTGGAGAAATCCATAAACGCCACAGAACCGTCGCTGGAGCAACTCATCAACTCAAGTCCATTCTGGCTCCTGGCAGCAAATAGAGAAATAAAATCATTCAATGGCTTTTCTAACCACTGCTTACATTACATTTTATAGTTGTCGCTATTCAATACAATTATTGCTTTTTTAGTTTGTATAGAATATAATTAAAAACGTAACTGACATTTCTAAACTATATTTTTGAGAGCAAAAACTTTCAAAAAAATAAAAATTTATAAACAATTGTAATATTTTTAGTAATATGTCATCAGTTAAAAAGAGAAAGCTACCATGTCAAATCCAAGATGGAGTTTTCAAATAGATCATGCATGACAACCAATGGTCGCTTGAGTGCTGTTAACTGTAGACAAAATATTTCAACATTTATGTTAAATATGTATTTTTTGATACATAGGCCTATACAGTCAGGAAACAAATTTTATGATAAAAAACTGTCTAGCTCTACAAAAAAGACAGTATCAATTACTAAAAGTGATACACAACAGTCAACAATGCACACTTACCCAAATGGAAAGTGACCTGTCCTTACTGCCAATAGCACAACAAGAGTACTGTTGGGACTGCAATGGTGATGTAAAAAAAAGCAGCATTAACATAAGGGTAACATTAACATAGGGTATTTGCATCAAAGTTTTCATACGTAGTGCTCACAGACCATGCTATGATAAGCTGAACAACAATATTACTGTTACATTTGAGATTCTATAACACAAACCAAGAAGAAACTTATTTACCTTTTCACCTTTAAATTTCTTAGAGAAAATGTTTGGATTAAACCTCTGAAAATAAAAGAAATAATATTTACCTTATCAGAAACTAAAAACTTTGCTAGAAAATTAAACAGCCCCCAGGTGACTGACAGCTATTTTCTTTAAACAACACTCACCACTACTGTTATAGCTTTACGATGACCAACAAAGTCTAAGCTGGCCTTGAACCCTGACCTCTCAATTATTTGGGCCGTTGGTCCTGAATTATTCATGGCATGGGCTGAGACAATATGGTGGCCATCAGGGGACCAGTTAAGTCGCAGAGAATGGGTTGTTCCACTACACTGTTTAGAAGATGAAATTTTTTTTAATTAAGCAATGAGAAGTCGACACCAAACATACAATAAATATAGTGAAGAAACAGTTATAAGCAAGAACTTAAAATAATTTTTAGAAGGTATAAGGATCTGTGCAGGTCTGTCTACCCCAAATTAATATTTCCTGAAACAACCAATTTTCAATTATAATGCCCTTTTTGTCAGTAACATTTAAAGAATGTTTTAAGACAATGTTTGCTTACTAGTTAAAATTTAAAAGAGCAGTAAAAACTACCACCAAACTGGCAATTTAGGCTAAGTCACATATGATTACCTTTTAGAAAATTAATAAATAATAAAGTTAAAAAACAGCACAAATTATCAAAACATGATACTTTTTCTTTTAACCTAGAAATGGTCCTATAAAAAAGCTGCCCACTTAATTAAATTTCACAGTATTTTAAAGTAACTATTTTAACAAATCAAAACAGTCTGAGAACTTCAACCACAAGAACAGCACGATAACTTGTGTTTCAAAATAATAAAGTTCCTGAGAAAAGAGTATACCTATCTGAACAGTGAATAGTTCTAACAGCACAGAATTGTAAACTAGCATAAAAAGTTTTCTTACTTCCTTAAATGGTTCTTCAATAATGGCCTCTTGCTTCCAGTCCATTGTTCGCCATATTCTTAGTGTACGGTCATCAGACTAACAAAAATGTTTCATTTTTAATGGAAAGGTATAAAGAGCAAATAAGTTAAACAATTACAATTCATTGGTACAAGTACATAATGTGTAAAGGAAGAATTATTTTTCAACTGCTTTTAACAATGAGATATTTTAAAGAAAAATAAATAAAGACCTGAGATGCGACATATTTTCCTACAGGATCCCAGGTAACACCCTTTACCAGACCACTGTGACCACGTAACGCAGTTAGTTGCTCTGTCAGGAAAAAACATTTTGCTATGATACACAAACAAAACAAAAATTTTTAAAATATTTTTCTGTTGACTGGGCGTAAAATTTTACCTGGGAATTTCAGAGCATTCCATATAATGACTGTGTTGTCAACACTGCAAGTAGCTAACCACACATCTTGTGGAGACCAGTTCAAATCCAACACGTCTAAAAAATTACATTGGTAAAAATACAAAGTAAATAATGATTTATTATAATAACCTATTCACTCTTCACACGACTGATTATAAAGATGTTACCCCCAGAGTGTCCTCGCAGTGTGAAGACAGGTCGCCACTGCTCATGTATCACTACACTGCCAGTTGACCCAAACGCCTTGGCTGGGCCCGCCCCTCTACTTGTCTGCCAAATCATAATCAGCTTGTCATCTCCTCCTGATGCCAGGAACTTACCACTGTGAGACCAGCGCACACAGTTCACACAGGCTGAAATTTGAACACAATTGTTACAGATCAGCTGTTTATGTGCTTAAAGCCAAAACTGACTTTAAATATTTTAACATTTAAAAAGCCATAAAACAATGTAATTTTGTATTAGCAAGTCTATTGGGAATGTTAAACATCAACACACACCTAAGTGATGGTCCATTTGACATAACATCTTGGGGACTTTCTCATCATCTTCAAGGGCACCATTCCGGACAGGCTCCATGTTCCAGATAACAATTTTACCATAGTCATTGCCTATGTAAAATATAAAGTCAACTTAGTCTGTCCAACATTAAATAACTGCATCTGCATATCATTCAGTACCATTGTAGAATAACAAATCTCTTAAAATAATGGATTCAAACAATCAGATGATGTAACAGTTACAAACTAACATAGTGAAATTATTGTTCAATTAAATGGAAAGTTTTAATTTGTTTATTACCTTGGCCACCAGTGGCACATCTTGATCCATCTGGATGAATATCCACAGAAAATATAGGTTTACCTGAAGTAAAGTTTAAAAATAAAGTAATCATTAATAGACAAAAACCCATTCACTAGCATGAGAACACCTGATTACAGAATAAACTAATACATTATACAAATAATTTGGGTATGGTATAATTATCATCACATGTATAAACTAACTGCAAAGAGCTGTACTGAATAATGCTAAATACTGCACTTCTTCAAAAATGTCTATACACAAAGTGTAATTAGATTTATGAATAATTATAAATATAACACAACTGTAAGAGAAATTATGCCCAAACCTAATGACAAATTATCATCAAAACTCGCTATATGACAAATATAGGGCTAATTGTAGGCGACATATATTGTAAAGGTTTTTTGTTTAATGGCCAACTGATCTAAGTTGAACTTAGCAGATTGATTAAAGAAAACTTTTTTTATGCATTCTCACTTTTTAAGTCCTCTAAGCCTATCCCCCTTCCTATCATCTAAATAATTTAAAAAATGCCATTTATACAAAAAAAAAGGTGGAGCCAAGTCACCCACAAGGACTGAATGAATTTACTTAGAATTAGGCAAAAGTTTTTTCAAACAGGCTATTTCTAGTGGGCTATCATTTCATACAATATACAACTGAGAAAAATAATATCTTACTATACCAATAGCATTTTTCATACTTGGAGTGAACTAAGTTTAAAGAGCATTGTGCTATTTCTTTTATTTTATTATAATATTTTTATAACAAAAAATATTAATATTTAAGTTTATGTTAATATTTGCTACATTAATGTATCATGTGTTAAGGTCAGTGCCTTGATCAATCAAGAAGAAGGGTAACAGTAATTCATTTGTATTAGGAGTCAAGTTGAGCTAGTAGGAATTTTAACATACTGTAGTAGGTATTTTGTACAGTACACCACATTTAAAACAATAAAATGAGTGTGTATAGTCTGGGGGGGAGGGGGAATGTGAGACATAAAATGGTGAGGTGGCAAATATGCTTGCGATCTTGTGGCAAATGAAGAAATAAATACAGTGACAAACTTGCTTTTGATACAGCAAAAAAAAATTATGGAAAATTTAAGTATATTCCTATATTACGTTTTTAAGTAAATTTCTGTAAGTCTTTAACTGAATTCCTTTACATGACCCAATAGAATTGATAGCCAGGCACTAGGCCATTCAAACATGCTACAATATTTCACTATATTGCTATATTTATTATTAAATCAATCAGTCTTGACTGCCTGAGTGGAATATCTGGCCTCTGTTGACTATTCCGGGGAACAGTTAACTGGCCACTTCAATCTTCTTATTCCTTTAGAGCCCCTGAGAAGCAAAAGGCTGCAGCCACACCTCTCCACCTGTCTCAGTTTTGGCCAGCTCTCTTTATTTGAGCCCATGTAAGCCCAGCAGCCCTTGCCTCTCCTAACCACTGTCCTTCTCCAGGATTGCTTTGGCCGACCTAGTTTTCTTTTCCCCTGGGGATTCTAATCTAACGTTTGCTTGTCATTATTATCCTATTCCCTTCTCAGGGCATACCAGATCCATCCCCCTTTGATGTCCCTGTTGCTTTGTGCTGTGCCACAGGTCCTCATTTGACATCTTATCTTATGAATCTGTTGTAAACATGTTATTTAATGATTGTAGCCTATCTGTATTTGACTTGGCAGCCCTAAAGTAATACTGCCTTAACATTTGTGCTGAAGATTTTTATCTTGCTATGATTTCATAATGAGTGCAGTGAGTTGAAGGTACATCTGGCCTTGCTGATATAGCTTTTATGTTTTCCTCTGCTCCCCCATCCTTGTTGATCAAACTTCCCAGATACATGAATTAGTTTGTATCTTAAGTCTTTTCCTTTTAGCTGTAAGGTTGTTGATTCTGATTACCTGTTTTATTTCTTTACTTTTGATTTTAGATCTACTTTGGAGGCTTCTTCAGGGAGTTGATTCAGGTTGCTTTAGTAGGCATGCAGTTAAGTAAGTTAGATTACTCTCTGATACACTCAATAATACATTGTACTCAGCACAGTGGACAAAGATTTAGTACACGTGGTGTTTATGATTATTGTGGCACAGTCTCAAATCATTCAAAGAATATTAAGAATTTCAATCCTATCCAATCATCAAGAATGATAGATTACCTAAATTTAAAATCAGAAGACAAATGGGTAAAACTCGATTTTAGCGTATTTTAATCGCTGCTTCACCTTCAGTTCCGGTTGAGCGTATTTTATTATAAACACAACCAAAACACAAAAACTTTAGGAAAACATTAGGATTAGAGTTAGATCTACTTATTTTTTATGAATATGAGTTTTAATTAGCAAAGGAAAAAAACAAACATAAAAAAGCATTAGGACAGTTCCAATTAAATAGTGTGTGATCGTCAGCGGGAGAAAAATCCCTTCACGGTTGAGGGTTCACCGTGAGTTTATATTGACTTTAATTATTAGCATACATCATAGCTTGGGCAATAGCTATTTGAAATGGTGTTGGCCTCAGTTTTGGGGTCATTGTGAGTTAATAAAAGTTTATTTATAGTATCATGCGTGGGAGATACTTGTAACAATACAAACTTAACTGCCTTGCAATTGAGAGTTTCGTACTTCACTTCACCCATTGCTATGAATTTTTTGACTGCCACACGAACATTGCACAGTGACATTCAATATTCCAAATTTGGATTTTTCTCAAGTTTTGACAAAAGTAAATCAACTAAATCATTCAAACTAAAACAAAACTTCCTAAAGAAACAAGCCCAATGTTTTCCTACCGTTTTTTTTTTTTGTGTTTATGTTTATAATATTAATAAAATACGCCAACTGGAGATGAACGTGAAGTGGCGAATAATATATGCTAAAATTTTAATTTAGCCTAAATAAAACAATGGAGTTTTTTTACAGAGAAATGTTCATTATTCATTAACAATTACTATTACTGATCAATTAGTGACAGTCACAAGTAACTATAGGCTACTGATTAGTCAGTGATTAGATCTAGCTTGTAATGATTATTTAATAAGTTATAGTTAGGCCACCATTTAATCAATAAATGAAATGGCTTTTCAAGTTTTATTAATTAACAACCAAATAGTAGAATCTAAATTAGTAAATAGGCTACTCAACAAATGCTGCTTTTGAAAAGCCGAGTCAACTGGCAGTGGTTCGATTATTTTTATTATTTTATTTTATTTTTATTTACAAACATTAAACAAGACTAAAACATGCAAATAATAATTACTATAGAATGAATTGCATGCATACCGTCATGGTGTATCCATCCAGGCTTAACTACTCTCATTTTTCAGATCTTTAGGTAGATCTAGTCTTTGATTTTTAAAAATTATGCTATCTAGATCTAACTTTTGTTCATACCGCTCACGCCATTGTTATTATTTTTTCTCACTCAAGAGTAGCCGGTCGTAAGGGAGGTTAAAAAGTTGAAATACTGGATTTGGAGAGGAGTGGACATTTTAAAATATAGGGTCTAAAAGATTTTAATTTAAATTAATTTTAAATAGATCTAGAATCTAGATATAGTCTAGATTAGTTCTGATTTGATTAGTCCACTTCTTAAACTTGTTTATTTTTTTAAATATGTTTTGAGTAAAACTATTGTACAACAATATCACATATGACATATAAAAAATCTATCTATTTAAATCTATTAAGTATTAAGTTATTATCAGCTTTTTTAAAGAGAATTAGAATAATAGATCTAGTCACCCCCACCCTTATTTAAGAAGAATATTTATTAGTCTACATTGGACCTTATTCGAAATTCATGAGAGTAAAATGAGTAATGTTATATTATATTGACTAGATTCTATATTGTTAAGGATTTCCATACAAGATCAGTGATTCCCAAATTTGTCCAGTCTACCACCGTTTTTTTAAATAAATATTTCTTCCAATACCTCTTCTAAGGAAATCCACATATATATATATATATATATATATATATATATATATATATATATATATATATATATATATATATATATATATACATATATGTGTGTGTGTATAACACATATAGGCAGAATTTAGTTATTATTATTATACAATGAAAAATGAAGTAGCATAGTACATTTAGTAAGTATGTCTACCAATCACTGAAGTATGTTAGTTATAAATTAAATGTGTCCCTTTCCTTTGTTAATATTTATGAAGTATGCAGTTTTTCCAGGGATCTCTTAGGACACTGCCCACCCCTCAGTGTGTTATAAACATATATTATATATACATAGAGAGAGACAGACAGATAGATAGGCCTGTTATCTAAAAAAAATACAACAGGAACAGGCATTATGAAATTTATGTTTATTATATAAACAAGCAATTTTTTGTTTGTTTTGAAAGTAAAACAAAAATATCTATGTTAAAACAGTTAAAAAACAAATTCAAAGGGTATGAATAAGCCAAGAACAGTAAATCATACCTAACACATTTTATTATCTGGTGACAAAACGAAAAGCTGCATCATAGCCAAGGATTCTGGTATATTTTACATAATTCAGATTAAGAAATAACCCAGTAACTGTTTATACAATTTGAAATAGTCTAACTGATAATAAGAACTTAGCTTGATTCTAGTGGTACAATTCATAGAGATTTTAAAACACTAATACAGATAACAACATAGACACATAGCTCTAGCTATTGGTGAATGTTAATGTTTACATTGACACTACTGGATCAAGATGTGTTGCTGTTTTATCTGTTATTTATGAACTCTCAAAAATGTAATAGTGAAGTTAGTATGACAGATATGAAAGACTATTACAAAAAAATAAAACCCCTAATCAATTATTAAAATGTGATAATCTGGATAGTTTTCTACAGACAAAAATAAACTTATATAAAATAATAAATTAACAATGTTTTTTTTTTTAAATTTCTGTTCAAATGTAATGATGATGATGTAAATACAAACAGTTATTACATCAGTTTAAACAACAACATGTAACTTTTCACAGGTCAGGTACACACGTTAGTTTTTAATCATATTTACATGGACAATATTTTTTCATTTGAAAAGAGGGTTCGTTGTGAAGATTACAACTCACTCTACTATTCTTCATAGTGACCAAACAACATTATCTGAAAAATGTCAGATTTATCATAGAAATCTCTTGTATATTATGGTCATATTAATATTTAGGCAACCCAGTATGAAAGTAATATTATTGGACAAAGCAAGCAGTACTCCAGTGTCCCCTGTAAAACGCAAGTTCCCATTACATCAGGACAAAAAAGAACTAAGCAAGAAGAACTTTAAGTTGCTTAGTTAATATTTAGTATAACACAATTTTTAAAACAAAAGAGATTCTTCTTTTAGTTGTCTTAAATGCAATTGATGAGTAAACCCTGCTTATAAGTATGTTTTGAGCTACTAATAAACTACTTTTTAATTCAGTAAATCCTTTTAATTGGTCTTGGTAATTCTAATATAAAAAATGAACATTACTGACAAAAATAATAGGTAGTTACATTATAAAATAATGCAATGCAAATCAGAAAATAATAGACGATTACAGTAAATATGTTTTTATATTCCTGTTATTTTGATTTAAAGAAAGAGAAACGAGTGAAAACTTAATAGGAATAGTACCTCAATTTTTCTATTATTTAACAATGAAATGAAGTCAATGAGTAAAAGTTATTTAACAGTTATGTTCCTGGTGGTGGATAAGCTGAAGATCCAAAACCTAAACCAACACCTCTGTGAGTGTGAGTAGCCATCCTGGCATACTGATATTCTTTATCTAGTTTCTCAAACAATTCTTTTTGCTTCAGTTCTAGTTCTTCACTAGCTTTTTCATCATCATCTGCAGATGACCCAGCTTCATTTTTTATACCCATAAGCTTACGAAATTTTTCTTTTGATTTATTATCATGATCACTTGACAATGTAGTAGCATGCCACTGAGAATTGACTTCCTGTAAAAAGATAATATACTTAATGAAAGTTATGAAAGTAAATTAGGAATAATTAGTAGATGATTGGCATGTCAAATTATTAGAATTAGAAGAGAAAAAAATTATTTGACCAAAGAAAAACCAATTACCTTCTCTTTGTTTTTTGACCAAAGAAGCTTTCGTTTCTGGACTTGCTCTGCATACTTAACTGGATTTATAGCCGCAGGGTTGTAATACTTTGGAATCTCTATGCCAGTCTTTTCTGTTGTCTGATCCAATGTAACAGGAGAAATTATGTATTAGTCTCTGATAAAATTGTTATTAACAGTACAAACAAGCTGAGCGGATAAAGAAACTCACTTCTTTTTGTAAAGCTAGTAGTGACTGCATGGCTGCTTCAGAAGCTGTAATAGTAGCTGCAGTCAAGCCTGCTGTGCTGGTGACAATGTTAGCCATTAGAGGAACAGGTGGTTTCTTTGGTGCAGGAGCCTGCTGTGTGCCAGCTGTCTGGGTGCATAGGATGGTACCATCTACAAGTTCAAAAGAAAACACTCATTCAACTTCTAGTATATTAATATTGAAAGAAGTTTTATATACAGGAAGTGAAATTGTTAAACAAATTTGAACATGCTATCATGTCTTTTATATACTTTTTATTATAAATGTATCTGTGTCTGCTGCTTGCACTTCTTTAGCAAAAAAAAAAACACAGGAACTAAATGGTTTCAAGAACAGCAACCCAGCTGCTTCATGTTCTAAGTGCATCACAATAGAATTATTGTGTACTACTAGGGTAGTGAATGAAGGCAGGCAGGCATAAGGAAAATAAAAGCAATCTAAAAACCAGTTGTTTTTTATTCCACTGTGCAGCTGTAATCCTAGCACAATAATTAGACCAGTGCATCCAATGAGGGATTGAAATGGCACCTCGGAAATAGTCCGTGAAGGGAACAGGGCACCACCAAGCTAGCACAGCCCAACAAACCTTTAGAGATAAGTGCTTGTGCTACATCACCTCCTTCTTCCATAGCCTTTATCAACTGTTGTCTCATTTTCTCCTTAAATGTCATTGGTTTAGATGGTGGCGGTCTTCCAAAACTTGCTCCAGCTTTAATATATTTATCACCATATTTAATGACCTAAAGAAACAGCAAAAATGTACCAGTAAGTTTATAAAATTGAATATTTTTACTATAAACAACAATAACCCATCTCTGAAACCCATATATAGATATAATATATAACAGAGCTTAGTAGAATGTAAAATGATGCAAAAATGTGGAGGGAATGTCTTTGCTTTTGGTCGTTATCATATTATTAAAACCCAACCAGTTTCATTCATTACCTTGGAACCACGAGGACTTGGGCTACGCCTTCTTCCTCTGCTTCTACTCCTACTCCTGCGACTTCTATCACTATCTCTGCCTTTAACATCTCTCCGCCTTTCCCTTCTTTCACGACTTCTACTTCTACTGTGCCTGTGTTCCCTATGTCTACGCGGGTAGTCCCTGTCCTTAGATTTCCGCCTCTCTTTTGACCTTGATCGTGATCTGTGAGACCTGTGTTTTTTCTGGAACAGCCAGATTCAATGTTTTACAAACTAATTAATTTTTGGGTAAAAAGCCATTCTAACAAGTAAACGTGGAAAAAAGACTATTAGCAAAACAATCATACCAGACAATACAGCAAAGACCTGCTCCTGAAAAGACAGGCTAAGAAAATGGGTACCAGATAAGAAATGTATAAAGAATATGAAATTATCTTTTTATATTGGGTTCGCTGCTGTTGAGTTTGAAAACTTGCTTACACTAATGAAAAACAATGTGATTATTCTGAGTATTCACCCATGGCTAATGTAATAAAGATCACAAACTTAACTATGAGATACCTAATGGCTAGAGAGGGAAAAGAAATAGAGATTTGTTTAGGGGGTCCAAGTAAAACTTAAAGCATTAAATTAGTAAATTAAAAAGAATCTAAAGATACCTCTTTTCTGTGATGTCTGGATCTTGATCTGGATCTTGAACGAGAATGTCTACTGCGCTCTGAAGACCTTCTTTTTTTGGAATGAGGTGATCGAGACCTTGATCTACTGGTAGATCTATGTTTTACCTGAGGAGACATTCAAGTACAGCAAAATAGAATTACACCTGTAAAGAGCAGAGCTCCCATAAAAATGCATGGTCACAGATCACAACATTTAAAAAAAAAAGAAATGCTGTCTAATGATTCATCTGCTGGCATTAGTTCTTCAAAAACTTTATGCCATAATTGGAGAATTTGTTGAAAATATACAGCAGTTACTAAAACTGTCTAGAACACAATTTTTTTTTTAAATAGGTGCTAGAACAGTTTTAATTTGTAATTATGTATAATTGAACAAAAGTAATTTGTCTTCTGTAACAGTCTCACTACATGCTTTACAACAGGGACAACACAAATATGTTTAATTTGATATTCGTTTAAATAGTAATCGATTAATTATTTTATTTTTTCCAAACAATATAAGTACTAAAATCTGTTTTATATGTGCAAGGAAATTTCAGTAAAGCATTATTTTTATGTGAGCATATAAACCTTTACATGTTAATGTAAAAGTAACACACTGGCACCATTCAAATAAACTGCTCTTAACTGCTGAATTTATAAAAGTGAATAATATAATATACATGAGTAGACTCGATTAGAATGCAATCATTTTGATTACATAATCACTAAGTGTGTTTTTACAATAAATGCACAGTACAGGCGTTGATTATGGTTTCTTTCTTTCAATAACCAAAATACTCAAACTTTATGAGAATCATTTTAAATATACCATGTCTAGAAGGGTCAAAAGTTTATATAATCTGAGACCCTTTACTTACGCTGACGGGCCGTCGATGACAGGCCCAACTTACACTGTGGAAGTGACATCTTCACTGGCAGCATAGTTCAGCATAACGGACCAACTACAGTCCGCTCACAAGAAGAGCTCTTTTGTGTTGGAGAATAACCTATGTATATAGCAAGCAAGAGGTCAATCTTGGGTTCTCTGGCTGTGGTCAAAAGGCCTAACAGCTTTTGACTTGTATCAAATCATCAGTTTGTTACACACAAAAACCCTTACCAGTCACATACGCCTCATAGTGTTAGCTTTATACATTTTCTCTCCTTCTAATGGTTCAATTTTACTGACTGAATTGTCTTAACATTTTAAAATTGGAATGAATAAATGACTGGTATTTGCTGGACATTTAGAATTTTAAAATTATTTTAAGTTTGTTTACCTATGAAGCCAATGAAGTTCTTTTTGCAACTTTAAAAATGAATGTTTACTTTACTCAAGGGATGGTGGCACGAAATTTTTTTTAGAGGCAATGGCTGGGATGTAAATTATGTCACCCAACACATTTTTTTGAAAATACAAACTGATGATCAACAATTTTTTAACGCAAAAGCTGTGGCAGACATTTTAGGAAATGTCTGCACAGCAATAAAAGTAAAAGTTTTAAATCTTTAATTTCTCACCTTTTTATCTAAATTCTTTTCAAGTGTCTCTGATTTGGGCGCACTTTTCTCTGACTCCTTATTATCACTTTGTTTTTCTTCATTTTTTGCTAAAAAAACACAAAACAAAAGATTACACTAAAAATAAAAAATTTAAATTAGCTAACTTACTAAAAAATACAAAACTATAATGGTGTACAAAAACTCACAAGTTTTTTTGGTAACTTTATCTGAATCCTCAGAGTCTGAACAAGACATGTCTGAAACTGAATGGCTCTTCCTTCTTTTATTATCCTCTTCTTCTGAACTGCTGCTGCTACTACTGTGGCATCTATTTTTCTTTCTCACCCCAGGAGGCAGGTGAGATTCATCTTCATCAGCATCATGATTTGAAAGGGCTTCTTGCAAAACAACAGTGGTTGATATTCTATTGTCTATATCATTAGAATTACTGATTTTGGGCTGGGTCATTTCACATGAATCACCAAGTCCACTAGTAGGAGAAGTGCCAATCATTTTTTCAAAATTTTCCCATTCTGATTGTAGTCTACCAGTATTTTCTATTTTTTGGCTGAATACCTGTGTTAGAAAAAAATTGAATTCGATAAGCTAACATGTATTCAATAAAAAGTAATGTTTTATTCTAAATAGCAGGTTGCCTCTCAATATGCTTAATTATTTCTTGATTTAACTAATTTCAGTGGAAAAAAATAAAACAAAAAACTCACGAATGTCAACACCAGGCAAGCAGAATAAAATTTTAGCTATGCAAGTGCACGTTTTTTTTTGTTAGGTTTATTTTGTTTCTCATATTTTTTTCTTTTAGGTTTATATTTTGCCCAGCACAAACTAAAAGCTTATACATTCAATATGATAGTCAAACAGAAATATGTAGAATTTTACTATTATTATTATGGTGCATTAAATTTTGGACCTTCCCATTATGATTAAGCCTTGCTGTTTAATTTTCTATCTGTCAACCATTATTTTAACAATTCATGCTAAACAATGAGTAGCTTTCAAATGCATGGATTCATACTTAATATTAATAGACCTTACATAAAATCATGTTAAAACAAACACAGAAAACCACAACATACTTTACACTTCCATTGGCCATATATTAACTGAATTCAATTCTTATTTTAATTTAAATGTAGTTTTAAAATTTTTGTTTTAGCTAATTGCAACAAACCAACCAGTTGGCTGTTGATAGCGATTCAAAGGGTCGATTTAAAATATCCTCCAAATTGGTAGTATTGTTCTATGTTAAGCTTTGGAATTTCAGGATATCAATTTTGAGATCAAGCTCAATTCAACACCTAGTGAACACTAACAACTTAAAAGAGCTACAGCCAGTGACAAAATGACCTAGTACTGAGTAATTAATGATTCTGTCAAAGTAGAGTATACATTGCTGCTCTGCATTAAACAAAGAATGTACTGATGAACAATAAATAAGCTTAAACTAAGTTATAATGCATAAAAAAAATTAAAAATAGATTCCTAATTATGTACCTCACATTAGCGGATTTTCTCAAAATCTGTACTGTAAGATTTTGAAAAAAATGAAAGTTGGGCTCATTTTAAAAATTTGGTTGTCATTTCATAGCTGCTATAATAAAAACACCTCACAATATTTCTTTTTTTATAGGCCTATAGACTGATAATGATTAACCTAAAGATACATTGCTTCTCATTTTTGTACTCTTCAGGCTGATACTTTCAAAGTTCTAATTTTAAATTTAGCCTTCACTCACCAAGGCAAATTTTAAAATGCTTTTCTGGCATTTATAGCCCTGCCATCTATAGTTTGTTTTTATAATGTGAAAAACCTGCCATTTTGCAAGTGGTAATACATATTTGGGTAAGATTAAGCACATTTTTAATGAAGGTCATGTACTAGCAAAACATTTTTTCCTTTGGTGGAGGGTACAGTCTGACCTGACTTTGGAATTTTTTTCAGTAATAATGACTTTGCACAGAAAGTTAAAATATGCTAAATTGGCTTAGTTTACTAGTGTGCTAGCTATTATTGATACATTTTTAATAAAAAAAATCATTCTGTAATTCTCATCAAAAAGCCTAGATTAGGCCTTAGGGCTAGTAGGGTTAGGGATAGGATTAGGGTTGGTGTTACTGTTCTGCAGTTGTAAACACACGCATGCGCAGTACCATCGAAAATATCGCCGCGAAGGCTAGTCGTAGTTTCTCTCCATGGCGCATGCGTATCTTATTCCGGCTAGCATCGGCCTACTTTTGTTTTCTATGTTAAGCGGTTACTGAATGAGACCGCATGAAAGTTTTAAGTTGCGTTTTTTCGCGGTGTGTGTCCGCAAAGTGTAAGCTCCTCTAGATCAAGTAGATTCTAAAATCATTTAAAGGAGAAAATAAAAATAAACAGTATTAAACAGTCTGTCGGACTCGAGCGACGGGGCAGTTCCATTCAATCAAAATCAATGCCAACTTCTAGACGAGGTCTGTAGTTGACAAATCTTACCTGTTCACCATTTGTAGATCTATTTGATGTGTTAGAAATTTCATCATCATAATTTGCTAATAAATCCATGCTTGTGCTTATTTAAATTACAGTCTTAAAACATCAACAGTTACACAACAGAAACTTTGATGCCAGACATAAAAAAAAAACTATGGCGATCGCATTAGCAAGTTAGTTTCCGTTTCCGTTCAAGTGTTTTTGAAAAAAATGAAATTTGAAATGTTCCGGCTCAATCCAACATTTAGAATTAGAATCTTTACTAAGATCTACTTTCTACTAGATCTATAATTTATTACTCCAGAGTAATACAGTGATTGTATCAGTAACTATTCACTACTCTAAAGTGTTTGGTAAGGATTCAAGTAGGGTTATGGGTAAGAGATGACATGAGTGTTTCATTCAGGCATCTATGCGTCGCATGATTGGGTTGGGGGGGGGGGGGGGGGGAGTTTTAATCTTTATTAATTAATTAATTAATATTAATAATATTAATATTAAATATTATAAATATTAATTTTTATAGCCTACTAGGTCTAGCTAGAATCTAGATCTAGAAACTATATTTTTTAATGTTACACTTGTTTGAGAAATATATTTTATAAAATAAATATTGGTCAAATGTCAAAACACAATCTGAGTGAATCTGCTTTTTTTTTTACACTTACTAGATCTACACTCTACACGTTTAAAAAAATTAAAAACAAAATAGATCTATATAAAATATAATATATCTATATATATATAATTCTCTTCTGGGATCAGTTAGAAAACAAGCTGCAAGCGCCTCCTTGCAGTCCCCTCTCTTTCTCTCTATCACTATCACTACCACCCCCACCCCACCCCCACATGATCTGCAGAGTTTCTTCCAGGCATCTCTTCGGGGGGGCAAAGCCCCCCCGAAAAATTTTTACCGCCCCCCCCGAACGAAATGAAATTTATATAATTTATATAGAAAATATATACTTTTAACAGTGTCCGCCCCCCCGAAGAAAGTTTACCCGCCCCCCCCCCGAAGATTTCAAGTGCCCCCCCCGGAGAAAAAAGTCTGGAAGAAACACTGATGATCTGGTGAGCGGTGTTCACTCTGTTTACATTTTACAATCATTGAGACGGGTTTGGTGACGGCTATTAAGGGCAGAAAATTTAGTTTGAAACGATTTTAAACTTAGAGGAGGTAACTAAGAGGAGGCTGCTTTCACGTGGGGGGGGGGGGGGGGTTAGTGTTTTTAAGCAAATATTTTCAATGGCAGCATTGGTACTGTCGAATTCACAAATTATAAATTACTGAAAAGTAGAAAAAAACAACTAAATAGCGGCGTATGATACGCAGCGGGTTGGCTCGTATAATTATATATCTATATATAATTCTCTTCTTGGAGAGATTAGAAAACAAGCTGTTAGCGCGCCTTGCAGTCCCCTCTCTTCCTCTCTAGGAAGTCTGGTGAGCTGTGGTTCACGCTAAATGTTTACAATCGTAGAGCCGGGTTTAGTGACGGCTAATAGGGGCAGATAATTTAGTTTGAAATGATTTTAAACTTAAGGGAGGTAGCTAAGAGGAGGCTGCTTTCATGGGGGGGGGGGGGGGGGAGAAGCGGGGGTTATCGTCCTTAACGACTTTAAAGCAAATATTTTCAGTGACAGCAGTGGTACTTACTGTCGAATTCACAAATTATGAATTACTGAAAAGTAGAAAATAAAACAACTAAATAGCAGCGTATAATACGCCGCTATTTAGTTGTTTTATTTATATATTATATATATTATATTAAATATAGGCCTACTATTAATAATATGGTCTATATTATAGATTAATTCTAGATCTAAATCAAATTTGAATGAAATAGTTCATTTCTTCATATTCTAAAAGTAACTCACTCTATAACCGTAGCCGAATGTACTTTTAAAGTCAAATGAGACATACAGCACCCTGGACACTGACCACAAAGAGTGGACATTTTTTAAAAAATACAGATCTACAATAAGTTTAATGCTAATGCATTTAATACAATGTTAGATACTACAGTGATGCTTAAAAAGCTGAAGCTAAAATAATTTGTCGTTAATTCTAACTCATAAAATAAAATCCTTAGCATGAGTCTCTAGATATTAATTTATTTTCTCTTATGAAGAGCTCACTGCTCTTTCCTGATCAATTACTAATGAGCCATTTTTCATTTAGGAAGACATGAAAAACCCATAAAAATTTGAAGAAACTATTCTTTCTTTTTATAGATGGCTTGTAGAAGATGGTTCAGTTTGCCTACATGTGGTGGTGTTCCTACCCTAGAAAAATGTCATCATTTTTTTACTCAACATGTTCTATATTCATCTGATTCACATCCAGCTTACAATTATGGATTGGTTGGAATAGGTAAATCTAAAAGGTAATTCTGTCCTAGTGGTTCATAGTGCATTTTACTGAATTTAAATGTTAAAAATTTAAACCATAAAGTCTAGCAACTTTATGAGGAATGTAGGAACATTACAATGAACAATATGTGAAGGTAATAATTATTGTTTCTAAATTGACCACTGTACATGTTTCTGCAGGATAACCAATGACAGCAGCTTACCTAACACACAAGGAGAAGTACTGTTTGGATTTCACTCTATTCACCTGGCTTTAAAAGCAAACAAAAGGATGAAATTTCATGACATTTTTGTAGACACAAAGCTCATAGGTGATATGTTATTATTAATCTGAACATTTTTGTACAAATTATGAAAACAATTGCTGCAATCTATCCTCTATGTCAGGGGTCTCCAAACTTTTCAGCCCGAGGGCCGCATTAACCATCAAATATCAGCTCGGGGGCCAGAGTTTCCAGGCATCTATTTGGTGTGGCAGAGGCCCCCCCCCCCCCCCCGACTAAAAATAAATTATATAGAAATATATTGACAGGTGGTCAAATTTCTAGTAAACCCCCCCTTGGAGAAAAAAGTCTGTAAAAAATAAACACTGTCGGGGCCCGACAAAACACTCAAGGTCCAAGTTCTCAAATTGTTCTTCGCGTATTTCATTCTTGAAAATGTTTGTTCACACAGGTATGTTGGTCCAAACTTTGAAAGGTAGTTTGATGCAAAAGTTTCAATATTAGGAAGGTCTTTCTTGAGCAAAAACTTATAAAATCCCACCCGCCCTTCTTTGAACTTGTCTCTAAGGAGGTCATTTGCCTGCAATTCTATGACCTCCAGCT